TTTATCATCAACAAACTGGATGTCCACTGAGAGACCCAATCTGAAAGTCAGGAACTACAAAGATGACAGGTGGATAAATCCACAAAGATGGGAAGAAACCAGCGCAAAAAGGCTGAAAACACCCGAAACCAGAATGCCTCTCCTCCTACAAGTGATCACAGCTCCTCACCAGCAAAGGAACAAGACCTGATGGAGAATGAGTGTGATGAATTGACAGAATCAGGCTTCAGAAGGTGGATAGTAAGAAACTTCTGTGAGCTAAAAGAATATATTCTAACCCAATGCAAAGAAACTAAGAACCTTGAAAAAAAATTTGATGAAATACTAATGACAATAGACAATTTAGAGAGGAATATAAGTGAATTGATGGAGCTGAAAAACACAACACAAGAACTTTGCAAAGTGTGCACAGTTTTTTTTTTTGAGATCGAGTTTCACTCTTGTTACCCAGGCTGGAGTGCAATGGTGCGATCTTGGCTCACCGCAACCTCCGTCTCCTGGGTTTAGGCAATTCTCCTGCCTCAGCCTCCTGACTAGCTGGGATTACAGGCACGTGCCACCATGCTCAGCTAATTTTTTGTATTTTTTTTTTTTTCTTTTTGGTAGAGACAGGGTTTCACCATGTTGACCAGGATGGTTCTCAATCACTTGACCGCGTTATCCACCTGCCTCGGCCTCCCAAAGTGCTGGGATTACAGGCTTGAGCCACCATGCCCAGCCAGTATGCACAAGTTTTAACAGTCAAATTGACCAAGCAGAAGAAAGGATATCAGAGGTTAAAGATCAACTCAATGAAACAAAACGAGAAGGCAAGAATAGGGAAAAAAAAGGTAAAAAGGAATGAACAAAGTCTCCAAGAAATATGGGACTATGTGAAAAGACCTAATCTACGTTTGATAGGTGTACCTGAATGTGACGAAGAGAATGAATCCAAGCTGGAGAATACTCTTCAGGATACTATCCAGGAAAACTTCCCCAACCTAGCAAGGCAGGCCAATATTCAAGTCCAGGCAATACAGAGAACACCACAAAGATATTCCTCAAGAAGAGCAACCCCAAGGCACATAATTGACAGAGTCACCAGGGTTCAAGTGAAGGAGAAAATGCTAAGGGCAGCCAGAGAAAAAGGTCAGGTTACCCACAAAGGGAAGCCCTTCAGAATCACAGCAGATCTCTCAGCAGAAACCCTACAAGCCAGAAGAGAGTGGGGGCCAATATTCAACGTCCTTAAAGAAAAGAACTTTCAACCCAGAATTTTATATCCAGCCAAACTAAGTTTCATTAGTGAAGGAAAAATAAAATCCTTTGTGAACAAGCAAGTACTCAGAGATTTCATCACCACTAGGCCTGCTTTACAAGAGCTCCTGAAATAAGCACTACACATAGAAAGGAACAACCAGTATCAGCCACTCCAAAAACATACCAAAAGGTAAAGAGCATCAACATAATGAAGAATCTGCATTAACTAACGGGCAAAACAGCCAGCTAGCATTAAATGGCAGTATCAAATTCACACATATCAATATTAACCCTAAATTTAAATGGACTAAATGTCCCAATCAAAAGACACAGACAGGCAAATTGGATAAAAAGCCAAAACCCATTGATGTGCTATATCCAGGAAACCCATCTCACATGCAAGGATACACAAAAGCTCAAAATAAAGGGATGGAGGAAGATTTACCAACCAAATGGAGAGCAAAAAAACAGCAGGAGTTGTAATTCTCATCTCTGATAAAATAAACTTTAAACCAACAAAGATCAAAAGAGACAAAGAAGGACATTACATAATGGTAAAAGGATTAATGCAACAACAAAAGCTAACGATCCTAAATAAATACATACCCAATACAGGAGCACCCAGATACATAAGGCAAGTTCTTAATGAGTTACAAAGAGACTTAGACTCCCACACAATAATAGTGGGAGACTTTAACACCCCATTGTCAATATTAGATAGGTCAACGAGACAGAAAATCAACAAGGATATTCAGGACTTGAACTCAAACTTGGAACAAGCAAACCTAATAGACATTTACAGAACTCTCCACCCCAAATCCACAGAATATACATTCTTCTCAGCACCACATCACACCTACTCTCTAAGTGACCACATGATTGGAAAGTAAATTACTCCTCAGCAAATGCATAGCATTTCACAGGTTTAAGTGAAATATTGGTTGACTGCTTGTTTGTTATCTTCCTTTTTATTCCTTCCTGTCTCCATTGTCAAGTACAATTATTGGCATAAAAGAGGTTTTTAATATCCATTTTCAGACTGCACTCCAGCTTGGGCAATACAGCAAGACTCCCGATCTCTCTCCCTTTCTCTTTCTCTTTTTTTCTTTTCTTTCTTTTTTTCTTTCCTTCCTTCCTTCCTTCCTTAAAAAAATGAAAAATAAAAACAAACTACCCTCCAACGTGAATTTCATGGTAGCTTATGCCTGTAATCTCATACTTTGTGAAGCTAAGGCAGGAGGATTCCTTGAATCCAGGAGTTCAAAGCCAGCCTCAGCAACATAGTGAGATCCTGTTTCTACAAAGAATTAAAAAAAAAAAAAAAAATTAGCTGGGCATAGTGACACACACCTGTACTCCCAGCTACTCAAGGGGCTAAGGCAGGAGAATCACTTGAGCCTGAGAGGTCAAGCCTGCAGTAAGTTGTGATCACACTGCTGTACTCCAGCATGAGTGACAAAATGAGACTCTACCTTAAAAAAAAAAAAAAAAAAAGTAGTGGTTTAAAACTATCCTTCCTCACAAATCTATAGTTGGTTGATGTCCCATGTCTCATATATGTCTGTGATCAGGTGGCAGGCGGCTGATTAAAGATGACCTCGTCTGAGATGCCTTGTCTTTGTTTTACATGGCCTGTCATCAGCAGCATGTTCGCCTTGGCTTGTTCTCATGTTGGTGGCAGGGTTCCAAATGAGAGAAGTAGTGCACAGGGGCTTTTGAGGCCTAGGCTTGGAACTGATCATCACTTTTGCTGTAAGCAAGTTACAAGGCCAGCCCAGATTTAATGGTTGAGCAAATAGATTTTATCTCTTGATGGGAAAAATTACAAAGCCATATTGCAAAAGGCATCAAATATATGGAAGAGTGGAGAACTGCAGTCCAAATACAATAAATCTTTGCGATGTCTCAAAATTTCCTCAAGAAGTAAAAGAATAGAACCTACATTGTGGATTTATCAAATCAGATCATGCTTATAAAACACTTAGCACAATGTTTGGCACAATAGCTCTCAACACATGACAGAGAAAATGATTATGATTAATATGATGTACAGGTATAGTGTTCATGGTAAAGACTGCAACTGATGCCAGATGCTGATTTCTGCATACAACTTATTAGCTACATAATCTTGAGTGATTTCCTCATCTGTACAATGTTAATATTATTACCAAATTCATATGATTGTTAAAAGGGTTAAATTATGCACTTTGAACAGTACTCATAAATGTTTAATAAAAATAGTACAATAGGTAATTTAAAAATTAAATATATATTGTTAGCCTCTTTTACATCACTATAAAGGAATACCTGATGCTGGGTAATTTATAAAGAAAAAAGGTTTGTTTTGGCTTATGGTTCTGCAGGCTGTACTAGCATGGCGTCAACATCTGCCTGGCTTCTGATGAAGGCCCTGGGAAGCTTACAATCATGACAGAAGGCAAAGGGGGAGTGTATCATATGGCAGCAGCAGTATCAAAAGAAAGAAAGGGGAGGTCCAGACTCTTTTCAGCCACCAGATTTCACATGAACTGAGAACTCACTCATCACCAATGGCTATAAGCCATTCATGAGGGATCCGCCCCTATAACCCAAACATTTCCCATCAGGCCCCAAATCCAACACTGGGGATATTTAAACATGACATTTGAGGGAGACAAATATCCAAACAATATCATTTTACCCCCAGCCCCCCAAATCTCATGTCTTTCCCACACTGCACAATATAATCATCCCTTCCCAATAGTCCCTCAAAGTCTTTTTTTTTTTTTTTTTTTTTTTTTTTTTTGAGACGGAGTTTCGCTCTTGTTACCCAGGCTGGAGTGCAATGGCACGATCTCGGCTCACCGCAACCTCCGCCTCCTGGTCTCAGGCAATTCTCCTGCCTCAGCCTCCTAAGTATCCGGGATTACAGGCACGCGCCACCATGCCCAGCTAGTTTTATTGTATTTTTAGTAGAGACGGGGTTTCACCATGTTGACCAGGATGGTCTCGATCTTTCGACCTCGTGATCCACCCGCCTCGGCCTCCCAAAGTGCTGGGATTACAGGCTTGAGCCACCGCGCCCGGCCAAGTCCCTCAAAGTCTTAACTCATTCTAGCATGACTCAAAAATCCAGTCTCATTTGAGACTCAAGGTAAGTTCCTTCTACCTATGAGCCTTTGAAATAAAATATAAGTTATTTACCTCCAAGATATAGTTGGTGGTGCAGTTATTGAGTAAAACATTCTTGTCCCAAAAGGGAGAAATTGGCTAAAGAAAGGGATAAAAGGCTCCACCCAAGTCTGAAACCCAGCAGGGAAGACATTAAACTTTACAGCCCCAACATATTCCTTGGTTCTATGTCCTGCATCCTGGGCATACTGGTGCAAGGGATGGGTGGTCCTCAAGGCCTTGGACAGCTCCATCCCTGTGGCTTTGCAGGGTGCGTGGCTTCCCTTATTGTTGAAGTTGAGTGCCTGTGGCTTTTCCAGGCTCAGTGTGCAAGCTGCTGGTGGCTCTACCATTCTTAGGTCTGAAGAGTAGCAGCACGCTTCCCAGAGCTCCACTAGGCAGTGCCCTGCTGGGGACTCCGTGTTGGGGCTCCAACCCCACATTTCAGTATGTGCACTATAAGTCCCCCATTGCACATGCTCTGTATGATTTCCACATACCCCTCAAATGTGCACAGAACCTGTAAATATGATGGGAAATTGTCATGGGAAAAACATCATGGGAGAGTATCTGTATTTGTTTTCTATTACTGCATAATAAATTATCACAAGTTTAAAGGCTTAATGCAACTTATTTATTTGAGACAGAGTCTTGCTGTGTCACCCAGGCTGGAATACAGTGGTGCAATCTCAGCTCACTGCAACCTCTGCCTCTGGTTCCAGCAATTCTCCTGCATCAGCCACCCAAGTAGCTGGGACTATAGGCATGCATCACCATGCCCAATTAATTTTTGTATTTTTAGTAGAGACAGGATTTCACCATGTTGGTCAGGCTGGTCTTGAATTCCTAACATTAAGTGATCTGGCCGCCTCAGCCTCCCAAAGTGCTGGGATTTACAGCTGTGAGCCACCACATCCAGCCAATGTGACCCATTATCTCAGTTTTATATATTAGAAGTCCAGCACAGCATAGATAGGTTCTCATACTGAAGATCACACAAAGCTGAACTCTAGGCATCAGCCTCGGCTGTGGTATCATCTGAGGTTCAGAGAACTCTTCTAAGCTCACTCAAAGATTGTTGGAAGAATTCAATTACTTGTGGTTGCAAGTGAGGTTCCATTTTTTTTTTTTTTTTTCCCTGCTTGCTCATAACTGGAAGGTAGCTCTCATCTCCTAGAGGCTACCTTTAGGTTTTAGCCAATGTACCCCTCTCACAACATGGTACTTACTTCTTCAAGACTTACAAGGAGAATCCTTCTTGCAAGAGTTCACCTGATTAGATCAGGCCCTTTCAATAGTCTCAAAGGGAGTTTAGGAACTCTAACTGCATCTGCAAAATTCCATCAACTTTGTCATGTAACATAATCTAATAATGGATATTTCATTATGGCAGTATCATCAAGGGATATTTGACTTGTGGTAAATGATTGCTGTAAACACAATCTATAAAAATATGCGTAATAGGATTTTATACATGACTCCATAAACTTTAAATTTTATATCATTTTACAATTTACAAAGTACTTGTATATATTCTGCATCATTTGATTTTCATGACTATCTGTCAGAGAAGCACAGTAGATATTAGCCCAATGTTATTAGCGGCTCATAGCAGCTAAGTGTGTGTCCAAAGCTTTACAGCAAATTAGTAGTGGAGTCAGTTGGGCTTTAAATAAGAGTGTTTCCACCCTACATACAGCCATGGCTCTTTTTGCTAGCCCTGTAATTTTCAAACTGAGTTTGGTGATGCTTGAAAGAGATGTTGCAGGGATTACTCTAAGAACTGAGGGTGATACTAATGGGTAGGGCTAAGTGTTGATATGATGGCTCTATTTTTGTATGTTGGACGTTCAACCTATGCTTTAATAACTACTGCCCTGCACTAGGCTGCCTTGTTAAAGAAGAATATTTAGGAAAAAAATTAGTTGAAAAAATGGTTGAGACAGGTGTATATAAAAAGTCAAGAGTCGAGCCCCATGAAGTTTTAAGAAGCTGTCATCTCTTGCAGCAGCTGTTGAACCTTTAAAAAAAAAAAAGATAGAAAAAAGCAAAACCATATTACACAGCTGCTTTGAAATGTGCACTTAAGAAAATATGATGAACCCCACCCCTTTCACTTTTTAAATAAGTATAAAAAATTCATACCTTCTTAATGTCCGGTCTCTTATTTTTCTTTTCATGAAGACATTGACTAGCAACAGAGTACATAGCTTCAACTGAAGCGGAATCAGCATCATTCATCTTTTTATCAATATAATCTTCAATTGTCTTTTCTTCATCTTCAATTTCTTCTTTAATATCTAGCTTTAAAATGAGTGTTAAAACTTTAAGAACTTCAAATCAAAGTGAAAGAAATTAGAATATACATTTTAATCATTTAAATTAATCTACTTTGTAATAACATGCACTCTCATTTTACTGTCTTATCTTAAAACTTCATTAAGAATTGAAGACATAGCCTGGGAGACATGACAAAACCCTGTTTCTACTAAAAGTACAAAAAATTAGCCAGGCATGGTGGTGTGCCTGTAATCTCAGCTACTCAGGAGGCTGAGGCAGGAGAATCGCTTGAAGCTGGGAGGCGGAGGTTGCGGTGAGCCGAGATTGTGCTAGTGCACTCCAGCCTGGGTGACAGAGTGAGACTCTGTCTCAATTAAAAAAAAAAAAAAAGAACTGAAGACATACAGGACAAATCCTACATAAATAAATACAGCTGCCTACCACAAACTAACATTTTGGTTAATGACAGACCACATATATAGATGGCGGTCCCCTAAGATTAAAATACCATATTTTTATTGAACGTCTTTTATGTTTACATATACAAATATTTACCATTGTGTTACAATTTCTTACAGAATTCAGGACAGTATTATGCTTTACAGCATATGTTTGTAGCCTAAGAGCAATACCATATGGCCCAGGTGTGTAGAAGGTCATATCATCTAGGTTGGTGTAAGCACACTATATGAGGTTCACACAATGAAACTGCCTAACAACACATTTCTCAGAATGTATTCCTGTCATTAGGCAACACTTGACTGTGTGTGTGTGTGTGTGTGTGTGTGTGTCTAAATATATAAACATATGTATTTATATATATTAGTTCATAACATAAACATGAATAAAAATATGTATAAATATATAAAAATATAAATATAAACTATATATATTAGTTCATAACATAAATATAAAAACTGAAAGGCAAATGGGTCAAGTACCTCCCATTTGCCTTTCAATTTTGATATTTATGTTATGAACTATTGCTTATATGTTCCCATTAGCAGCAGCATTTACTAGGTGGGCAGCAAAGGGTGGTCTGCTTCTTGATTTGCTTCAAAGGGTGCAATTTCAACTTGTAGACGCAGATTCCTTCTCCCTGTACCCAACAAATTTCTCTATGGGTATTCAGATTTCTGAATCAAAGAGAAAAAGTGAGGGGGAAAAATCGGGAGCAGAATATGATAAAAAAAAATTAATAGGGAGAGAAGTGCAGGAATAAGGTGGTAGAGTTGAGTGAGTCATGGCCCCCCAAATCATGTCTATGTCATAATTCCTGGAACCTGTGAATATGCTCTTATCAGGAAAAGAAGGGCCTTTTCAGATGTAATTAAGTATCCTGAGATGAGATCATTTCGGATTATGGATAATCCTGGAAGTAAGCCCTACATCCAATAAAACAAAGAAAAGATTCTCTCTGGAGCCTCCAGAGAAAGCATGGTCTTTGCCAATATCCTGATTTCAGTCAGACTCTGGCCTCCGGAATTATGAGCATATTAATTTCTGTTGTTTTAAGTCACACAGTTTTTGGTCTATTTTTATAAAAGTCCTAGGAAACTAATACAGGTGCAAAAAAAAAAAAAAAACTCTTCATGAGAGGTAGGATGTAAATGCTCCAAAAACACTTTAAAAGGAAAAACTCTGAAAATGTTTGGCAATGCCAGGATCTAGTGACATAGGCGTTCTTCAAAGGATCACTTTCTTTTAACTGTGCTTGTATGAAAATCTTATTGCTTTAGAGTCACATCACAGTCAAATCTTTTTTTTTTTTGAGACGGAGTTTCGCTCTTGTTACCCAGGCTAGAGTGCAATGGCGCGATCTCGGCTCACCGCAACCTCCGCCTCCTGGGTTCAGGCAATTCTCCTGCCTCAGCCTCCTGACTAGCTGGGATTACAGGCACGCGCCACCATGCCCAGCTACTTTTTTGTGTTTTTAGTAGAGACGGGGTTTCACCATGTTGACCAGGATGGTCTCGATCTCTCGACCTCGTGATCCACCCGCCTCGGCCTCCCAAAGTGCTGGGATTACAGGCTTGAGCCACCGCGCTCGGCCCTGTCAAATCTTAAGAATAGGTGAAATAATATAACCTTCTCCAAAGATTTAAGATTTTCACTATTATATGTTGAAATGCAAAACTTGTGACAGATAGAGTCTATGTTTTTCTGCATTTCATTCTTACTCATCCCAAAGTTTTGAGGCTTTTACATATTTTCAAGGAAAAAGTCTTAGGCAAAAATGATGGAAAATTTAGGCAAAGTATATGCTGCAAGTTAGAATCAATCTGGGTTCAGTCTTGAGCCCTCCATATCCAAAAAGCAGGTTCATAGAAACTCCAACTTGAAGGTGGTTGGTCAGAAGTTCTGGGAACCTAAACTTGCAACTGGTGTCTGGTGGATGGCAGTCCTGGAGACTGATCCCTTAAGCTGTGAGATCTGACTCTGATGCTATCTCCAGGAACATAGTGTCAGAATTAAATTGGTGGACAGATTGGCTGCTTGTTGGCGGGGAGAAACCCTCCCCATTCACATTTGGTTACAGAAATTTTCTGTGATGATTGTTGTGGTGGTGTGAGAGCAGAGGAGAAACATGGTTTGAGTTTATCTTAACAATAGAAAATTAGGTATGTTCTTTACTGTAACTTTGTAAATAAAATACTCCATGATAGAAATAAGTGGAGAACTTTTATTAGCAATTTTACTCTGATAGACATTTGAATGGAAGTCATTTTTTTCCCTTCTGAAAATGCTGAAAATACTGTTACTAATAGTAACCACCCTGAAAGTAACAACATAAACATAAGCTAAAGAGTACCTCAGAAATAATTTAGTTCTATTCTCATTTTACCCACAAAAAAATCAGAACAAAGAATATAAAAGTGACTTTTCTAGGTTTCACAAACACTTCATGGCAGAGCTGAGAATGAAAAATATTTAATGCTCTTTCCATATACTACAGTGTAATAGCCAACGGAAAGATTGCCAACAGAAAATGTTATTTCTAGATGTCAAATTTATACATATAAATTTCGACTACAAATGTAGAGAAAAAAGGACTGAGGAAAACAAATATTTCAATTACCAATAACTGAGGTTCACGGTGTTCATCCACAGCTGGAAGTCCAGTTATTATTTCTAGTAAAACCTATGAAGACAAAAAAAAAATCTGTTAATATAATATGCAAGACAGGGTGGGCATGGTGCTAATGCCTGTAATCCCAGCACTTTGGGAGACAGATGTGGGAGGATCACTTGAGCCCCGGAGTTTAAGACCAGTCTGGGGAACAGGGAGACCCTATCTCTACAAAAAAATTTTAAAAAAACATTAGCTAGCTGTGGTGGTACACACCTATAGTCCCAGCTACTTGGGAGGCTGAGTGAGAGGATCACTTGAACCTGAGAGATTGAGGGTGCACAGTGAGCTGTAACGGCACCACTGCACTTCATCCTGGGTTACACAGTGAAATCTTATCTCTCTAAAAAACATATATACTATAGATGATACTAATAAATTACATATATAACACTCAAGACAAAGATAAATGTAAACTAGAAGGAATATGAATCTTGCTTCTAAAATTTGATGAATCATTCCATACAAAGCTATGTCTTTTAGGTATTTAAGTGGAAAGAACATGAGCTTTGGGCATTTCTCACCATCCTTCCTTCAGGGACATCGTGGACCCCATTATGATCATAAGCAGCACTTTTCTATTGGCAACTTACTAAAGAATCAGCCCCACTCAACATACAATCCTTTTCCTGCCTCTTGGGGATTCTTCACAAGAATAACTTTCTGGATCTTAGAAGGATATTATTTTCTAAACATTAGGCATATTCTATAGCCCTATGCCTTATTTTCACAGTGCTATGAAGTTAAGTTTCCATATATGAAACACGTATGAGAAAATAGAAGAGAAAGCCCCTGGTGTCTCCAATCACCCATACCTATCTCTTACTCTATCTTAAAAGTTATTGGGAACAGACAGGTAGATTAGTAAATGTCAAAAAATGTGAGACTAAAGTATATACTGTATGACATGATTCATTTAATGCATTAGGTGCCATGCTAATTCATAAATAAAATGGCAAGAAAATAATTTCTTACAGTCATTTCAAAAATAACTCACAAGTTTTACACATTAGAAGAAGGTTTCATAAACTTTCTGGTGTAAGTAGAGGTTAATGTGAAAAACTTATTACATAAGAGAGCTAAACAAGATGGGTGTATTAAATAATATTCTATTTCACTTTCACAATTATAGCAGAATGATTATTTTTTACTAATTATGTGTATGGAACTTACCACACCAAAGCTATAAATGTCAGATTTGGGTGTTATTTCTCCTCGCAAAGCTTCAGGTGCCATATAAGCTGTTGTTCCCACAATTCTGCTAGTCATGACTGTCTGGGCAAACTTCTCAGAAGCCCGTGCAAGGCCAAAGTCAGATATTTTGGCAGTGAAGGCTTCATCTAGTAAGATATTTGCACTGAAAAAAAAGTAAAGTTTGAAGAAAAAAATGTTTTCCCGACCCCAAAAAGTCAAACAGTTCCTTAGCTAGATACATGTATGTATGCATGTATGTATGTACGTATGTATATGCATACGTGTATGTGTACAAACATATTTAGATTATAACATTTTATAGTATATATCATAAAAGCCTGAAATTTATAGAAATAAAGCTAGAACCAAGATTATAGCTAAAGAGAAGCAACTGTCCTCTTTTTTATGTTTCTAGAGGAAAAAATTGAGAAGAATAAAAATGAAATAAAATTGTCTGAATTAGTAAGAAGTATTTTAATTATTCCACAAATAATTTATTGTAGGGTAAATTCCTACAAAATCTTCCAAAGCACCTTTATTAATTCCTTTCTTTTTTTTTTTTTTTTTTGAGATGGAGTTTTGCTTTTGTTGCCAAGGCGGGAGTGCAATGGCATGATCTCGGTTCACCACAACCTCTGCCTCCTGGGTTCAAGCAATTCTCCTGCCTCAGCCTCCCAAGTAGCTGGCATTACAGGCATGCACCACCACGCCTAGCTAATTTTGTATTTTTAGTAGAGACGGGGTTTCTCCAAGTTGATCAAGATGGTCTCGAACTCCAGACCTCAGGTGATCTGCCCGCTTCAGTCTCCCACAGGGCTAGGATTACAGGTGTGAGCCACTGTGTCCGGTTATTAATTCCTTTCTTAATATTTATCAATTCATTTAAAAACATTTCCAACCAAAGTGTCGCAATTATGCATTTATTTATTTATTTATTTTTCTGTACTATCAGGAATGTTTTTAAGAAAAAAAATATGGCCAAAATATCTCATTCATTATATGCTTTCATACTTTCATTAAACAATTGAAAACTCCCTAAGTTGTAGAGTATTTAAGCTCCCTGCTGGGCATGGGGGAATCTTAAAATCTTATCTGTGACAAGCATAAATAATTTTTAAAAATATAATGGTAATATTAGGGACAAAATGCTGAGAGAACAACCATGTACCTGGAAAAAGTAGGAAAAGTTTCAAACAGAAGGTGAAAAGTGTGCTTAGTATTGAAGGATTATTATAAGTTGATATTTATATGAGGGAAAGAAAGGAACTGCAAGCAAATGGAGTAACATGTACAAAGTGATGAAAGTATGAAGGCATATGGTATACATGGTCAACTTCAAGGAACAAGTGTACAACAAACATGGAGATGATTTGAACTTTATCCTGTGAGCAAGGGGACACGAGCCAGAGTTTTCACAGTAGGAAACTGATGTTACTAGACTTCACTTTTAGGACCATGACCTGGTAGTGTTTTAGTGAATAGATGAGAACCGATACAGACTGGATTTAGGTTGACTACAAAGGTTTATAACAAATCAAATGAGAGATACGAGGATCTAAATGGTCATAAAACTGGGGTAAATGGGAAATGAAAATTTTGAGGCTCACTTAACAGAATTTTGTAATTAGCACATTATAGAGAATGAGAAAGTCTTTAGCTTGAGAGACAGAATGAATGGTGACTTCATTTGATCAGAAAGGAAATGTGCAAAGACTTTAGGTTGGGCAGAGCTGATGAGTTTGATTTCTGATATGCTGATTTAGAGGCTACTGTGGGATACCCAGATGAAGTGTTTTGGGTATGGCGATACCAAAAATCCAGGATTGAAAGCTGATACAGATTTGAGAGACACTCATATATAAATAGCAGTTAAAATCAATATAATATCACTCAGTAAGAACATACACGGGAAGGCCAGGCGTGGTGGTTCACGCCCATAATCCCAGCATTCTGGGAGGCCAAGGCAGGCAGGTCACCTGAGGTTGGGAGTTCGAGACCAGTCTGACCAACGTGGAGAAACTCCATCTTTACAAAAAATATAAAATAAGCCAGGTGTGGTGGTGCATGCCTGTAATCCCTGCTACTTGGAGGCTGAGGCAAGAGAATCTCTTGAACCTGAGAGGTGGAGGTTGCAGTGAGCCAAGACTGCACCTCTGCACTCCAACAAGATTGAAACTCCAACTCAAAAAAAAAAAAAAAAAAAAAAAGAACATACAGGGAGAAAAGAGACAATGATGTAAGAACATGAGAAAGTACCAATACATGGAGGACAAGAGATGGTGTTTCTTTTCTCATCTAAGGTCAGTTCCTACATTCTCAGGAATCCTACTGAACACATTATCTCATTTCTCTCACCCATTATATCCTTTCCCTCTTAATTTGCATCCTTCCTATAAGCATATAAGCATAGTTTAGTCTCTGCTATTGTTAAAAAGTTTCCTGAACGACATATTTATTTCTAGCTGTTTCCTTCATCAGTAAAATGTCTGAAAAGACTTGTCTATGCTCATATCTCAGTTCTCTAGCTCTCACTCTTTCAACTACAATGTGATTTCTAAGCCAATTACTACATGGAAACGGGTCTCCATAAAGTCACCAATGACCATGGTGATGCTAATCCAATGACTAAAGCACTTGACTCTTTTTGATTACTCCCTTTTGGGAAATACATTCTTTCCTCATTTTCACGGACTCCACACTTTCCAGGTTTTCATCTTACCTTTCTCTGTATGTGTACTTCCTTAGATTCCTTTTTGTGATTATCTCTTTCATTTGGCCATTAAGTCTTAGGGTTCCTCAGGACTTAATCTTGTGACCTTTTCTTAATCTGTATCTCCCCTTAAGTGAATACAGTCACTTCAATTACCACCTGTATGCAAGTAATATATACATTTATACCTTCAGCTCAGACTTTCAGTTCCAAATCTGTATATCACACTGCCTAACATCTCTACTTCTGTATCTTAAAAGAACCTCAAACACAAGTACAAAGAAAAATTCACATTTTCTAACCACCTCTCTAACCCCAGTCTAACCAGGTCTTCTTTCAGTCCTTTCTGTATAAGAGAATCATGCCATAATCATTCCAGAATGCAAGTCTGGATGCCATTATTCCAGGAGTCATTCCTGAACTTCCCTCTTCCTGACCCTCAGAACAGCCAACATATCAACAAGTTCTGTCATTTTAATCTTTCTAATCTGCTCACCTCTCTTCATATAAACTGCCACCTATGATAGCCTACTAACTGCCTCTTCTTACAAACTGTTCTCTACACTAGTCAAAGTTGTCTTTGCAAAACTTAAATATGAAGCCACATTCCTACTTAAAATTTTCAATGGTATCTTGTTATACTTGTGATAAAACTAAAAGCCTTACCTTGGTCCATTAGGTCCTATAGGACTTAGCTTCCTACACCTCTGTAATTTTATCTCCAATCCACCACTCCATAACTTTCTGCATCTCAGTCATTAGCATTAGCATTTACTTCTTTTTTTTTCTTTTTCTTTTTTTTTTTTTTGAGACAGAGTCTTGCTTTGTTGCCCAGTCTGGAGAGCAGCCGCATGATCATAGCTCACTTCAACCTTGAACTGCTGGGCTCAAGCATCCTCCCTCCTCAGCTTTCCCAGCATCTGGAACTGCAGCCATGCACTACCACGTTTGACTGATTTTTTTTTTTTGTAGAGATAAGGTCTCACTATGTTGTCCAGGCAACATAGCCAGATCTGCACCTCCTGGCCTCAAATGCCTCCTATCTTGGCTCCCAGAGCATATTTTATTTCTTGTAACTCATCATGCTCCCATATTCTCTCTCACCACTGGTCTTACAAATGTAGTTCTACCTAGAACATTCTTCTCCTCATCTTCTATTCTATAGCTACCCTAAAATTGTACCTACTTATTTCCTGCCCATTTTTTGAATCTCTGTTTAAATATCACTTTCTTGGAAATCCTTCTTTATATTAATCCTGTATACTATACTATACTATATATACATATGTGTGTACTGTACACATTAACATTCTTTTATTATTTTGTAATTGATTGATGTTGAGTTCTATATATTAATATGTTACTTACAGCAGGTAAATATTTAACTAGATAAATACACAAGAAGAAAGAGAACTGAAAAGTACTCATGCAGGATGAAGGTAATTCAGAAAAGAATAGTGATCCAGAAACTAAGAAAACAACTAATTTCCGTAAGGCAAAAGTGTCAAGAAGGACAGAATAAACTACTATTAAAACAAACAAAAAACGCAAAGTAGGATGAGCACTGGAAGTAGGTCACTGGGCTTGGAATAAAGGAAATTGTAGATGTCCTTAGTGAGAAGAGCTTCCATGGACTGATGGGGAAAATGTCCAGAAGCACTAGGTTAAGACATGCATGTAAATAGTGAATAGAGTAAGAGCAAATTATTCTTTAAAAATGGCTTTCCAAAAGCTTTAAACAGTAGCATTTACCTTTTAATATCTCTATGAATATGATGATTTTCATGTAGAAAATTGATGCCATTAGCTGCGTCCTGAGCAATCTCACATCTCATGTGCCAAGAAAGTGGTGGAGTACCATCCTTATTAAGAAATGAATCAAATTATAAACAAGAAAGAATAATAAAAAATCTACAGAGAATATATAACACAGAATATTTTTCTAGGCAACAACTGAAGATGATGTTATAGCACTAATAATTTAGGACTACATTTTTAAGTTATTAAAAATAATCTCTAAATAAGTTCAAATGGGTGCTTACATTTCTTATTTGAAGATAAAAACATATAAAAGCATCTCCCTAGTATAGTCTTGGCTAAATTCTACATTGTAGATTACCACCTAATAGAATGGCAATCCAGTTGTTGACATATCAACTATATAATTTTCATAGAGCAGAAGAAATATGAAAGTTCATTTGCTTTAAATAATCTAGTAACAAAATGAATATTAATATTCCAGCATATAAACAAAAAGCCAAACAATGTGATGAACAAATATCTTACCAAGCAAGATAGTCTGTCTAGCAATGAACCGTTAGGCATGTAAACATATACTAAGCAGAGGTCATCTCCATCACTTGAGAAACCAAGCAGTTCTACTAAGTTTTCATGCTGACACCTGTGACAAATAATTTTTCATCCAAAATTATAATAAATATTTATATATTCAATTATAGGTTGGAAGTTAGTCAAAGTTTTAACAGAAAAAAGAACAAGAAAGTAGTATGTTATATATCATTTTTAACATGTTTGTTTATATACGCTTATTGTAATTATTTATAATTTTCTGCAAATAGTTCTATTTTCAGCCAATATTAAAATATTAATCAATGTTAGAAGTAAAATCTTTTTTTTTTTTTTTTGAGACAGGGTCTAACTCTGTTGCCCAGGCTGAAGTGCAGTGCAGTTACAGTTCCCTGAGGTCTTGACCATCTGGACTCAAGTGATCCTCCTGCCTCAGCCTCCCAAGTATCTTGGACTACTGGTGCATACTACACTCAGTTAATTTTTTAGATTTTTTGTAGAGATGACGTCTCACTCTATTTCCCAGGCTGGTCTTAAACTGCTGGCCTCAAGTGATCCTACCACCTTGGTCTCCCAAAGTACTGGGATTATAGGCGTGAGCCACCACACCTGGCCAAACCTCTTTCTATTTTACAGTAAAAGCTAAATAATTCAGATCATTGGAACTTCCGATAAGTTTGGTCAAAGACTAGGCTGATGCTTACTTTCTTTAGCCCAATTTTCAATGATGGCACAAGTAAGATTTCAAGAAGTCTGTTGAAACTTTTATGCGAATACTTTCAAGTATTTTCTAACATGCTCAAAGCACTGATTTACAGACATGATCTTGAATCACATCTAATTTACATGTTTTGGATCTTTAATCATATTGGACTATTTATAACCGAATACCTGAGAGTAATAAAACTAAAGAGACCTACGATATAATAAAATGGCAAACACCTGTGGTACAGAAGAAAGAAAACAGGGCTCAGTTATATGTGCTAAATTTAAAGTCTAGCTCTGCCCCCTCCTGGATATGTGACCTATGGCAAGTTAACAGCCTTACTGAGCCTCAGCTCCTTTATCTGCTAAATGCAGAAAATAGTACCTGTTATGTGATATGGATGTTAAGACAATTAAGTCAGCAAATGTAAACATGACAGCCTAGAAACATATCTAGCACGTGTTTTATTATTTAAGTGCTTATTCATTTTGTTCATTCAAAATGATCCACAGTTCTAGCAGTTCATTATATCAACTATGACTTTTATCCTCATAAACATTTTAAGAAGTGCAAATTAAAGCAGTAAGTGTCTAATTTTCCACCAAATTGGCACAAGACAGAATTTTGCTCATTGCCCAGGCTGGAGTGCAATGTTGCGATCTCGGCTCACTGCAACCTCCACCTCTTGGGTTCAAACAATTCTCCTGCCTCAGCCTCCCAGGTAGCTACGATTACAGGCTAATTTTTGTATTTTTAGTAGAGACAGGGTTTCACCATGTTGGTCAGGCTGGTCTTGAACTCCTGACCTCAGGTGATCTGCCCACGGCCTCCCAAAGTGCTGGGATTATAGGCGTGAGCCACTGTGCCCAGCCCAAATTGGCACATTTTAAACATGAGTAGTTAACATTTGCTGAGTTAATACTATATACAAGGCACAGTGGCAAGTGATTTACCTGCTTTGTTTAATCCTCACAAAAACTTAATGAAGTAAGTACTATTATCCCATTTTATAGACGAGAACATTAATGAATAGAAACTTAAGAAACTTGGCCAAGATCATTCTGCTAGTAAGGTCCAGAGATTAGCACTTATTAAAAAATAGTAGTAATATTAAATGAGAGTAAGGAACCAGTAAAGTTTGAAATTGTAATACACTGCCTGTAGAAATACAAATTGCTGTAACTTATCTCAGAAGCCACTTTAATGTATATTTAGAAAGTCTTTAAAAAGTTCATGCATTCCCACCTAGTAATGCTTTTTCTAGGACTTTACCTTAGATGGTGAAATAAGTATAACTACACTTAAAGATTTATGTGCAAAGAGCTTTAAAGAAACTTTATTTTTAATACTGAATATTAGAAACAAACCTAATAATAGTTAAATAAAACATGATCCTCACATATGCTAGAATGTTGTACAATCATTTAAAATGTTTTCAAATTATTTTTAATGACACGGGAAAATACTACACACGTATCATGAAGCAAGTATATAAAAATATTAGCAGTGGTTATCTCTTGAGTGATATATTTGAGAGATGGTTTATATTATAAGTTTCAAGATACATGTGCAGAACGTGCAAGTTTGTTACATAGGTAAACACATGCTATGGTGGTTTGCTGCACCTATCAATCTATTACCTAGGTATTAAGCCCTGCATGCACGTGGATTTGTATACTTTAAAAATATTTTCCTGTGTTTTTCAGATTATTTACTGTGAACAAGTTACTTTTAGGACTGAAGAGTAGGGGTGGGAGTGGAGAAAACAAATCCTGGAAAAAAAAAAAGGGTTTGATCTTTTTTCAGTGTGCATTATTTTTACTCTGCCATAAGTCAATTCTAATCTACTCTTCTTGAAATTGAGTAACTATGACTGGTGATTTAAGAGCAGTGGGTTCAATGGGTATAATTTGGTAAATCCCATTAGGATTCAGATCAAAAGTTCAGGCTCTGCAATCAAACATCTGGATTTCAATCCCATCTGTAACACTGTCTATGCGATCTTGGACAAGCTTTATAATGTTTCTACATCTCAAGTAACAAACAAAAAGGGCAGTTGTAACAGGTCTGAGGGTTAGATAGACAATGCAGATAAAGTACACAGCACAATATCTGGCATGTTGGACAAACTCAAATATCAATCATTACTACTCACTGTAATTATTAGAATACATTCCCTCCTTTATCCCTCCTACTCTTCCTGATGATGCCCAACAATTTTCCAGCACACAGGGTCAATGCCTTCTAAGCATCTTTGCATATAACATGACTCTAGTTCCTTTGTATGTGCTACTTTATATATAAGTGTCTATTAATCATGAATCCTGGAAGTAGAAAGGATGATAATGAAAGACATGAGAGTGAAATTCCATGTAATTTGGTTGTGATTTAAAATAACGACTGCTATTTAATCTCTCAGCATATGAGTATATGTAATTAAAGAATTGTGGAGCCAAAAGTACTTGCAGTTTCTCTAATGTAAACACTTTTTAAATTTCACATATGTGCAGACGTCACTAGTTCATAGCATACTCCAGAGTGAACCAGGTTCCTTACTCCTTGTTTTTTTTTTGTTTTCACTATACCACACTGCCAAATTAAGACTTACTTTGCCATTACTTTTATTTCTTGATCAAATTGCTGTTTCAGTTCTTCAGTAGTAATGTCAACCACCTGAAAAAATAAAATATGCAATGTAATACCACACAACTCTAAGGCTCCTAATGCTCAGAGGGCTCAAGAGATCAGCTGGCTGATCGCCCTTTCTTCAAAATAATAAGGTATTACTTTCCCAATTTATAGAACAACTGAGATCTAGAAATTCTAGTGATTTGCTCAAGGTCCATGGCTGGTTAGTGGAATGAAAAATATATATCAATTTCGCTGAGTTGTTGTAGAAACAAAATGAAATAACATGAAATTTTACTACACAAAAAATCTGAAAAAAAAAAAATTCTAGAAAATAGAAAACATACAAATTTAAATGCAAAATGGAAAACAAAACCTACAAAAGCACTGAAATGTATATGACAAAGAGTAACTATTTTCATCACATACGTATGTATTCTATTGATATTTTTAGGCTCTAATAAAAGGTTAAGAATACAACAAGTCAATAAGTAAAAGGTGAATATCCCAATAGAAATGGTAACAAAGGACATGGCTAAGAAAAAGTTTTAATCTTTTTTCTTAATGTATACTTTTCTAAACTTTATTTTTAAATGGGAAAACTAATGTAAACAAAGTTTTTTAAAAAATAGTTTTCCTGGTATCTTACTATTTTAATCTTGTTTCCACATGAAGTACTATGTGGAGCAGGGCTTTTCAACTTTAGTTTGTGAATCTCCCAAAACTGTATGTTTGATTGTGTGTATATGTACATAACTACATTTCTCTAGGGATAGGGTCCATAGCTTCATATAGATTTTTAAATTTTAAGAACCACTATTTAGAATGATGTTTATTTAAAGAAAATACATACTGAAAAATGTATTTCCTAAAGTTTAATATATTTAAAGCCTATTTTAGAGCACAGTAGGAAGCAACTCTTTCTTTCCTTTTATTCTTGAAAATATAACTTACTGCTGCAAGCTTCTTCACTGCCACAGTTGTGTTGTTCACGTAGCCTTTATACACAACTCCAAATCCTCCCTCTCCCATTTTATTACCACCAACAGAAATGGGTCGTTCATCAAAGTTATTTGTGACATTCTTCAATTCGTAAAATGAAAAACTGTGAAAACCTATAATGTCAAAATAGGAAAAACGTATTTAAATTTTAAAAATTGGTTTTAATAATTCTAATCTGTTTTCATTTGAATATTTCACATATATGCAATTATTTATGTACTTTGAATTAGACAAGATGGAAGAAGATACAACAATTTCTAAAATACAAATTACAAGTTTTTCTTGAGAATTTGGTTTGGTGATCCTACCCTCCAAACACTATAGTCACCTACCCAAAATTCTAGTCACCCATTTGCGTAGGTCTAGTCTACCTGCCCAAAACTCTAGTTACATACTTTATTTTAAAAAGTGACCCTTCTAAGTTACGTAAATATTTACATAATTTTTTTCATAGCTTCTTTGGTGCTTGCATGTCCTATTGCCTCTATCACTGATGAAGATGGTTCTAAATAAATCAGGAGGAAAAAACTCACAAAAAATCTACTGCCAGTGTGCCTGTGATTGCTGCACAAATGAATGAACAAGAGCTTTCTTTTAAAGCACCGGTGGTCTTAATGACAAATCCACCAGCGGAAAGCACTGAAAATGTTACTTACGTGTATCACTAACTTCTAAACTTTTATTTTCTGGACTTGAAGAGTCAGGTGGCATATAGCTTTGTCCAAGATTCTTCACAGGTGTCATTAATGTCCCGTCTTTTTCATAGAAAGGCATCTGTTTCTGCTCAACTGTTACAGCTTCTTTAGAAGGCAGTGTATTGGCAGTTTTGGGAACAGCATCTAACAAACCAAGTAAGATACAAGTTGTTTTTCAGTAGGAAAAAGTGGTTGTGTAAAAGTTAAACTAGAAAATTGGTTCATTTAATATCATTCCAGTTTCTGCAGGTTGTTCCCATATTCTCATAGCACACACAAGAAGCTACCTAGTAAGAATCTGTAAGTTATAATGAAGATGGGTAGAGAGAGTAAGGCAGTGTTTTCAAACAGTGATCCAGCACAGCCACCTATATCAAAGGCACTGAAGCACTTGTTTAAGAATATAGACCTTGAACCTAATTCCAGAATTCTGATTAAGTAGATTTGGAATAGGCCACAGGAATCTACATGTTGAACAAGAACCTACGTGATTCTTATCCATGATAAAGGTTGACAACCACTGGTGTGAAAGGCATCAAAGCAAAAAAAGAAAGGTTAGAAGGAAGGCAACTAGACACTAATACATCAGAATACAATTTAAAAAAAATCATGATCATAGACTTCCATCATAGTGGAAGCTGAAGATGAAAAAAAGCAAGAGCTCAAAAGAATAATTACTTTCTTACAGCCTAAGCCAGAGGTACGAGGTCTTTCCTTCTAAACTTCCTATTGGCACCAAACTATCTGACTCTTAACGAAGCTTCTATCACCTTAGTAGCAGAGTTCACAGTGTCCTCTGTGCTGCTTTTTAAAGAGTTGAGGAGTGCTGAAAGAAATAAATGGACTCTCAATATCAGCTTCATCTACTATGAGAAAAAAGAGTAAGAAGAAACATTTTTATTTCTTCCACTTGTCTTTCCACCCTAATTGTGGACACCCTGGTCACAATCAGTTTACCTGGGAGCAAAAGACTCGCAGGAGCAAAAAACTCATTTTGGATCAAAAGATGCACAAGATCACCAACTGTACAATTTGTAGTACCCCAGTCAAACAGTAATTCAGAAGTGGGACTTTTTCCAGTTTGAAGTAATGCTTCAAATCTCCTTAAAAGTAAGTAACAAAGAAACAAAATTAGTCTATTGTCTTAGTCCATTTTGTGCTGCAATAATAGAATACCACAGACTGTATAATTTACAAACAATAGTTAATTTGGCTCATGGTTCTGGAGGCTGGGAAGTCTAAGATGGACGTGCTGCATCTGGTAAGGGCCTTCTTGCTACATCAGCCCATGGTGGAAGGGCGGAAGGGCAAAAGAGTGTGTGTAAGAGAGAGAGACATAAAGACAGAGAAAAAGAGAGAGGAAAGAAAGACAAGAGCAAACTCATCCTTTTATCAGAAACTCACTCCTGAGATAACTAACCCACTCCTGCCATAACAACATTAATCCACTCGTAAGTGCAGAGCCCTCATGACCTAACTACCCCTTTCAGGTCCCACCTTTCAAGACTGTTGCAACACATGAACTTTTGGGGACACATTAAAACAATAGAATTTATAAACTGAGGTCATACGAAAATAGGTGTTCATCTCCCCTGCCTGTTTTGCCTACAGCATCTCCTATAACACTAAAGAAAAGGGACAGCAAGAAAACTAGCAAGAATTACAAAGAGACAGGAAAGACAGGAGGAAAAAAGATGCCAAAGATAATGATAATAATTTACTGGGTACTTACTGGGTATTTACTTAGTGTGTTACAGGATGCATACACATGAGCATGTTCAAAGACATTATGATTATGATACTAATTTACTAGTGAGAAAGCCAGGCTTGGAAGAGTAACCATCTCATAGCCACACAGCCAAAGTGATGTATCTAAGTTGAGGTCCAAATTCAGATCCCATTTGACATAAGAGTGTGTTCTTAATCTACTTAGTTATATTACTTCCCACATGACTTAGGACTCTGATAGCTACATAATTTTTAATAAATTAGCCTGCTTAATTAAACAGAATATATAAAAACTTAGGAATTTATCCCTTTGATCTTAACTATAATTAAATTGAGGGAAAAAAAATCAAAATCAGCTTTCATCCCATTTCTTTCCATTTCTTTAAAATTAAAAATTAGTTTTGAAAAATAACATTTAAAAACTGAACCAATATCATTTTGTTTTTTCCTCTAAAGATTTTATTTTCAAAAATTTCAACTTACAGAAAAGTTGAAAAAAAACGATAGAATGAACCACCATTCACCTAGATTCATCAATTTAACAATTGATAAAATTATGCCATATTTGGGCTCTTGTGCATGCTCTCTTTCAATCTGTATCTGTGAGTGTGTATGTTTTAGAACACTGGCCAGGTATCTTATAGAATGAATCTAACAGCCTAGATTTATCTGACTACGTTTTCACGATTAAATTCACACTAAACATTTTGACAGAAATACTACATAGGTGATAATGTGCCCTTCCCACTGTATCATATCCAAGGCATTTTGCACCATTACTATTGATGCTGAAGTTTGATCACTTGGTGAAGGAAGTGTACTTCATAATTTCCTCATTTAAAAAAAGTACCCTTTGCTTTCATACTTCAGAAGTAATTTGTGTACAATACTTTTTAATCTATCTATTGAGGGGATCTTGCTCTGTCACTCAGGCTGGAGTACAGTGGCATGATCATGGCTCACGGAAGCCTTAACTTCCTGGGCTCAGATGATCCCCCCACCCCAACCTCCCAAGTAGCTGGGACTACAGGCGTGCACTACCATACCCAACTATTTTATTGTAGAGATGGGGTTTTACCAGGCTGGTCTTGAACCCCTGGACTTAAGCAATCTGCTCAACTCATCCTCCAAAAGTGTTGGAATTATAGTCATGAGCTAATGTGCCCAGCCTATAAACTTTAAAATCTTGTGCATATCCTGCTCATTTGCATGCAGACCACCTTTCACCTTATGTTTTTAGGTTCAGTGACGAGCCTTGTATGACTCAGTTACTCATTTGATTGGTTGCAAGTAGGTATTTTTCACATTCTACCATTTGGTGGTTGCAAATAGGTATTTTTCTAATTTTACCATTCTTGTCACAATTATTTACAGGTATTATTCTGTAAAGAGCTTTTTGTGTCACAGGAGTGAGTCTTGGAAAAAAGAATTAAAAAAGAGAAGAGCTTTATCTTCCTACCACCACTGCCCCAATTATCTTCCATAAGTTTTTAACAGTAATATCAACAAATTATCTTTAAACGTTGGCCTAACACAATTTAAACTTAAGCTTCTTTCAAGTAATTTAACATGTTTGCTCTTCTTATGAGGAAACACTTCCTGGAAGGGAACCAAGGCTTTAGGTACTTTCCCAGATTAATGCTGAAAATAACAAATAGTCTTCTTTTCCTTTTCCTACCAAAGAAAAATTTTGATACAGGTTTTAACTGCAAAGATTGACAAAAATAAAATCTGCATACATATTTTACACTAAATGGAACAGAGATGAGTAAAGAGTTTTGAAAAACTGAAATTATCTGAAGACAGCACTGAAGAATCCTGGCTAAGATCTAAGAATTCTGTTTATAAAACTATACACCCGTAAGTAACAACTTTAAAATGTCAAGTTGAAAAACTCCCAAAATACATTGTTAGAGTATATTAGAGATTCACATACTTTGAAGTTTAAGCTGCAGATTTTTACTAGACATTCTTATAATATTGTCATCTTCCTTTAATCTGGAAATGAGAAGTGTGAGGCAGAGTAAACTTCACTTGGCTTGTCAAACAGAGAACCACAGCAAAGGTGGGAATCTTGATACTAACCCAAAAAACTTATTTGAGAGATCACAATATTGGCCCAATTAACATATGGAGAAAAAAGACAAAATTGCAAAACGAACAACCAAAAGGAGGTTACTTATTACCACTGTCTCCTCCGCAGTAGGGAGGTTCACTTTCTAAATTGCCACATTAGACAGTACTTATACCTATTAATCATTCTACATTTTGAAGTAAGAATTCAAAAATACAAAGAATTTTATCTATTACCTTATATGAAACTGATTGTATCTATCATCACCAGATGGTTTTTTAATAGCTACAGCTAACTTCTTCCATCCTTCTTGAGGATCAATATAATCTGACAGCTTTCTAATTAGTCCAACATTGAGGCAGCGCACATATGTTGATGGTGTTATGGGTTTGTTCATCTTCTATTCCTAAAATATGGAAAAATCTCATTAAAATTTTACAGTACTTTCAGAGATGATATCTGTAAGTTTATATATCACACTTTGCTATATCAACTGATTATACCATAATAAAGAAACATTCCAAAGTCATGTCGTTGATACCCTACGATGAAATTAAAATTGTAATTCATTTGTCCAATTGCACTCTGGGTTTGCTTTCTTTTCCAACCTATTAAAGCAATACAAATTGGAAGACTTTTTTCTGACACTCATATTTCCCAAGTAAAATTTATAGAAAGGGGCAAAAAAGTTATCAGAAAAATTCCTTTTAACAGTAGTATCAACAAACTATCAGAACTAGTAAATTCAGAAATCAAATCTATTAATAAAAACATGTACCTTTCAATTTATTTTTCTCAATCAGTACTTATTTACTATTAAAAATTTGTACATTATTTGGTAGAAGTAAAAAAAAAGTACTGAAATGATTTGTATAGCATTAACAGATATGGTCCAGCCACCTGCTTTTCACATAGCTTGCTCTTCCTTGACCTCTGCACATTTTTTGAGTCCATGAGATCTGCCTCACCATAATTCATTTGCTACTATGCCAAAACCTGTGCTTCACCATTTCAACTACTCTCCGACTACTCACCATTCAACTAATCTTTATTCTGGCAATCCCCCTTTTCTTCTGCTACTCCACCCTGGATTGCTGCAGCCAGGGATAAATCTAACAATTTTATACTTGTACCCCAGAGCTGATGATGTAAATACAAATTTATGGTAACCCCCTTTCTACTGGGCCTTCAACACTGTCATTAATCCTTCCACTTGTCTTCTCTCATTGTCCTTAGTGACTGTTTCATACCTTTACCTCTTCCCCCATGATTTTTAATTTATTCTTCATGTCCCTCATTCTCAATAGGTAAGGATCTTTCCTTTCAATTAAGACAAATAGACTCAGATATTCTTCTGTCAATTATTTTTGCTTCCTTATACACATTTTAAAAATACAATTAATTTTAGGGTAAATAATGTGTTCATATAGAACAACATTCTAGAACCATAAAAAAGTAAAAAGCAAAAAGCTTCTCCATGTTATAGGTTTCTATGCTAGTATTCACTTCTTCTCTTTGGACTTCTTTGAGGACATCTAAATAGGTCTAGCTACCCTTCACCTAATTATCTTTCATCATTGGATAATGTATTTGTAATCATATATTTACAATTATTTGTAATCATATATTTATTTACTTGTTTACTGTCTCCCCCATTAGAATTTAAGATCCATGGGTTCAGGACCATGCTAATTTTATTCATAAATATATACCTAGTGACTTGCATACTGTAGAGAATGGTGTTGTTCAGTATTTATTTTAGGAATAATGAAATTACTTTCCACTACAGTTTTATCATCTCTATTTCACAAAGGTGGTAAGTGAAAGACCCAGGACTTACACTTATGTCTGACTCCAAAATTCATGCCACAAAACCCTACTTCTATAACACAATGCATTGTTTATACCATTCTCTTTTTCAGAAAGACCATTCCTTTCCTTTCATTCATGAATACATTCAGCAAACATTTATGTCAGTCTTTGTAGTAACAAATGGGAGCACAGAAAAAAGAAAAATCTTTGTTTCCAAGCTATTCAATATACCAAGGGATACACACAGTGGCAGGTAGTGATAAATGCTGCAAGAGTGTTATGGTGCCCAGAAAAGGAGCATCAGGCAGAGGCAATCTGGAGTAGGTATATCAAGACAGATTTGATTGGAGTGGGAGGTTGGAAGGATGAATGAAAGGGAATGAAGACAAACCCAAAAGAAAATTCCAGGCAGAGGGAACAGCATGGGAAAAGGTGGTAGCATGTGTGTCTCAGGCAGAGCTTACTATGGCTGGATCATAGGAGTCTGTGATTAAGTGAGGAGAGATGAGGGTGGAAAGGTAGCAGGGCCATATCACCATGCAGCTCATATACTAAGACAAGGAATTTGAACTTACACTAAAAGTTACAGGAGAGCCATTTCAGGATTTTTAGGAGGTAATTTAAATAATCTTGTATGGTTAAGTGGAGTCCTCTGGATGAAAATTAAAGGGATGTATACTGAGGCAAGAAAATTAGTTTGAAAACTTCTGCAATAATCGAGGTGAACAGAAACGAGAACTTGGAAAAAGTATAGGGCAGGGGAATGAAGAAGTAAACATCAAAACATTTAGGAGGCCAAATCACAACAATTTCATTAGAGATCAGCAATTAGAAGAAAGGGAGATAGAACAGTTGTTGCTGCTGTTCTGCTTGTGTTAAATGTGAAATATCTACCTTTGGTACCACTTAGGGGCCTTCACACCAAGTACCTATATATGTGGTCTGGAGCTTAGGAGCTTGGTTTCAGCAAAGAATGCTCACCATGTAAGTATTCTCATATAGAAGGGGTTTTCAAAAAGTTCATGAAAAATGCATATTGTGCAATAACCATGCATGGATTTCCAATTGTTTTTGCAAAACATATTTCCAAAATAAACTCATACTAACTTGTTCTAACTAACTTGTTATCATCCATGTCTAAACAGAACCTAGTTTGAGGCACTAAGAAGAATAAGAGAGTTTGAGAAGAACCTCTACCACGGCAACACGAATTTTGCTAAAAGTGAAGCTAGAACAAACACCACAGTTAGGGTAGAGGCTGGTTGAAAGAATGGTGAAATCACCGACGCTTTACAAAAAGTTTGTGGGGGCACCCTCCAGAAAATCAGCAGTGTATAAATCAGTAACTCATTTTAAGGGATGAGATGATGTTGACAACGAAGCCTGCCACAGCAGACCGTCCACGTCAATTTTCAGGGAAAACATTCATCTTGTTTCTGCCCTAAATGAAGAGTACCTATAATTAACAGCAGAACCAACAGCGAACACCATAGACAACCAGTTCACCCTATACAATTCTGACTGAAAAATTAAAGTGGAGCACTCTTTCCACTTGATGGCTGCCCAAACTCCAGATCAGCTACAGACAAGAGCAGAACTTTCAATGGAACTTTAAACAAGTAGAATCAAGATCCTAAAGCATTTTAACAGGAGATGAAACATGATTTTATGAGTATGATCCTGAAGCACAATCAAAGCAATGGCTCCCCAAAAGTGGCAGCGGTCCAATCAAAGTGAAAGCAGACAGTCAAAAGCAAAGGTATGGCCACAGTTTTTAGGGATGCTCGAGGTGTTTTGCTTGTTGACTTTCTGGAGGGCCAAAGAATAATAACATCTGCTTATTAGAGTGTTTTGAGAAACAGTAGCTTTTCTGAGTGTTTCTAAATTAAAGCTTTTCTGCTAAAGCTTTAGACAAATGTTTAGCAGAAAACATCTGGAAAAGCTTTACCACAGAGTCATTCTCCATCACAATACCCCTGCTCTTTTCTCTCATCAAACATCAATTTTTTTGTAAGTTTCAACTGGAAGTCATTAGGCATCTACCTTACAGTCCTGATTTGTCTCCTTCTGACTACTTTTTGTTTCCTAATCTTGAAAAATCTTTATAGGGCATCCCTTTTTCTTCAGCAAATAATGTAGAAAAGACTTTATTGACAAGGTTAAATTCCCAGGACTCCCAGTTCTTTAGGAATGGACCAAATGGCTGGTGTTATCCCTTACAAAAGTGTCTTAAACTTCATGGAGCTTATGTTCAGAAATAAAGTTAACTTTTTTTTTTTTTTTTGAGATGGATCTTGCTCTGTCATCTACACTATAGCGCAGTGGTACAGTCTTGCCTCACTGCCACCTCCGCCTCCCACGTGAAAGCGATTCTCCTGCTTCAGCTTCCCAAGTAGCTGGGATTACAGGCATGCACCACCACATCCAGCTAATTTTTGCATTTTTGGTAGAAATGGGGTTTTGCCATATTGGCCAGGCTGGTCTTGAACTCCTGATCTCAGGTGATCTGCTCGCCTGGACCTCCCAAATTGCTAGGATTACAAGCGTGAGCCACTGTGCCCAGCCAAGGTTTACATTTTTAATCTTTTAATTTAATTTTTCCAGAAGCTTTTTGAAATGCCCTCATACAAATTAAGAGCACATATAAATATATGGTTGAAACAACAGTAAAAATAAGTTTGCCTATCAGTAATGCTTAGAATGGAAAGGAATGATGTGAAAGAATTTTTTAAAATACTTCTTAGTCATGAAATCAAGGAAAAAACCAGGACAGTAGCATACCAGAAACTTCTAGAAAAGGTGACAGGTTGGTATAAAAGACTCAGAGAGGTCAAATAGACACCAATGGATATGTTAGACTCAAATTAGAAGGCCACTGGTGACTTGGAACAGCTGTAGTAAAAACGTCAGTGAATGGCAAAAACAGATTTTCTAAAAAGTCTGGTTGTGAAGGGAAGGAGAAAGAGAGAGAGAGACAGGTGAGAGGGGTGGGAGGGGAGGGGAAATGAAGGTGGGGGTAGGGTGAGAGAGGGAGGTAGAGAGGGAGTACATGCAAGCACTATCAGTTTTCAAATTTGGTCTCAGGACCAAATTTTAAGATGGTAAAATCTTAAAAACTATTATAGACCCCAAAGGGCTTTTGTTTATGTAGTTTATATCTACCAATATTTACCATATTAAATTGATGCTGAGAAATTTAAAAATTACTTAATTCATTTTAAATAACCATATACATGTTAGTATATATATTTTAATAAAAATAATTACCTTTTCCCCAAAAACAGAAGAGTAACAATGTTTTAAAATTTTGCTAATCTTTTCAATATTTAACTTAATAGAAGAGAGCCGAATTCTTATATCTGCTTCCGCACTCAACCCACTGCAGTATGTTTTGGTTGATGTATGTGAAGAGAATCCAGCTTCACATAGATATACAGTTACAAAGAAAGGTGTATTTTAATAGCCTTTTCACAAAGTAGCAAATATTTCTCTTTGATACTGCACTAAAATTTGACAAGGAATAACTTCTTAAAGGTAAGCAGCAATGTGGAATCTGAAGCTGTATCAATTAACTTAGAACATTAGAATGTATTGCACTCTGAATAAATCTTTTAACTATATGTGATTTTTACCTTACAAACCTCCTGAAAGAGCATTAGGGACTCCAACTATGCTTTGAGAACTGTTGGTGTTAAGGGTTTAAGACTTAAGCTGTTTGGCAATACAAATGGGATAATGAATAGTGTACAGGTGAAGAAATCAGCCTTGAATAGAAAGAAACCTCTTCTGAATCTAGAAAGGAAGCAGAGGTTTGAATACAGACATATTTGAAGGGAGAAGAGTTCCCACATAATGTTATTTTTTTCTGTGAAACAAGAAGCGAAAGTCATCTAGGGCCGGGTAAAAGAATAGCCCACTTACCTTAAAGGCCACCTGTTAAATGCCTATTACTTCTTCAATCTCAATTCAAAAGGCACTGTGAGCTTCCCTGACAGTCATCTCTTTTGCTTCAAAATGTCACCTAGTCATTCTTCTAACAATTGTTATATTTTACTGTTTATGTGTCTGCTTTCTCTGTCAGATGGTATGTTCTCCTGGGCTGGGATCTAACCAAATTCACCTCAGCAATGACTCACAACATTGGTGTTGAATGAAAGACCGATGATTTTTAAATTTTAATTAAGAGGTTTTATCTAGGTTACCTATAGACTCTGTAGTGGCTCTCTTCAAGTTATTTCTCCTTATTTATTAAGATTTCTCTCTACTGCATGGTACAACATGATTGACAAAGCTAGAAAAGATAGAACTGCTTAGTAATCTTATAAATTAGAGCTAAATACAAGGAATTGAGGGGAAAAACCCAGACTATCTAAAGACCAGGGATAAATTTGGTAGCTCTCCTGTACCCAGACTTCAAGCAGAGGTGATGGGTGTAAGGATATAGGAAAAAGAAGGCCTTCTGCCAACTCTTCCATACAGGTACTCAAAAGTTCAAAATCCCAGAAATTTTACTTTAAATGTACATTCATATACCACTCCAACCACATACTTACAAGAACATAAGCCAAGATATTAATGTTGGTTATACCTTGGTGATGACTTTTATGATAGTTTTGTTTTCATTTTGCTTTTCTGAATTTTCAAAAATGAAAACAGACTGTGCTGTGCAAAAAAACTTAGAAAGTATCATCTCTTTCAAACTGTTCAAGATTTACCTTAGTACATTTAGGATTAATAAAGGTGGAAAAGAATACGTTGATTACAAATAAATAAGTAAATATCTTCATGACTGTTTCCTCTCACCACTAATTCTCATAGTAAGGAAAACCCAATCATATTTTCAAATAAGACAACTCAGACGAGTACAAAAGGTGAGGGGGTGCTGATTGAGAAATATATTAAGATCAGCACCTGCTTACAGAACCCAATGCCTTTCCAAACAAAGTACTATGCCCAAAATAGGAGTGCAAAAGATTCTTGTCAAATGTGTTAATCAACTTTTAAGACTGTGCTTCATTAGCACTCTGATCAGAGAAAAAGATTGTGCAGGGATGGAGGGAAGATGAACTTTGAGGTTGCACAGGGCTAAGTTCTAACTAAAGCCAACTGTGACCAGAGCTAGTAAATCTACTTCTCCGGACCTTGCTTTTCTTCATCTGAAAAACAGAGATAGTAATACCTAGGAATTGCTTTAAGAATTAAAATCAACACAGGCAAAGGGCCAAATCTTGTCATATAATAGGTGGTCAAAAAAAAAAAAAAAAGGTGCAATTATTATTTTCTGGCAGAAATTATTCTTATATCACATTTTAAAAAAAGAAATGTAGCCGGGCGCGGTGGCTCAAGCCTGTAATCCCAGCACTTTGGGAGGCTGAGGCGGGTGGATCACGAGGTCAAGAAATCGAGACCATCTTGGTCAACATGGTGAAACCCCGTCTCTACTAAAAAAAATACAAAACATTAGCTGGGCATGGTGGTGCGTGCCTGTAATCCCAGCTACCCAGGAGGCTGAGACAGGAGAATTGCCTGAACCCAGGAGGCGGAGGTTGTGGTGAGCCGAGATTGCGCCATTGCACTCCAGCTTGGGTAACAAGAGCAAAATTCCATCTCAAAAAAAAAAAAAAAAAGAAATGTGCAGAGTTGTATTTAGGTTCAATTTCCAGAACAGTGGTGAGGCTCTACTGAAAGGGTACAAATAAGAAGTCTGAGAATATAGTTAAGCTTTTCAGATAGTGACAGTCTTATTTGATCAACCACAGTACTTTTAATATATTTATATCCTTTCTAAAATACTCTATTTACTTCCATACATTCTTATCAAAATATGCTACATAACCATTAATCTTTATTTTTAGATACTTCATCATCATTATGAACAAAGCTGGTGAAGCCTTCCAGAGCTATTAAATTAGATAGGGCTGCCTATTACAAACTGGGATCTGTGCTAGTGTACCGTAAACCAAACATAACACATCTTTCTTGAACACAGATCCAACACAACATTTTTAAGTAATTTAAAATGCTTTGCATATATTTAAAAACAACTCACCAAATACTTACTGAGTGTCTACTCTGTGCTGGATATTGCTCCAGGCCCCTGGAGATGAAGGATTAGGAAAATTAGAGAAAACAATAATAATACTGAACTCATGGAGTTTATATTCTAAGGGGGGAACGCAGGCAATGCGCAAATAAATAAACGCTATACTATGTTAGATGGTGCCAAGTGAAATGAAAAAACAAAACGAAACAGAGAAAGAGTTGTAATTATAAATAGGGTAGTCAGAGGAAGCCTCAGTGAGAAGTTGCCATTTGATTAAAGGTCAAAAAGAATGAGAAAGCCAGCCACTGGGCTATCTGTGGGAAAAGTTTCCAGACAAAACAAATAGTAAATGCAAAGGTTGGAAGTGGGCCCAAAAGGCAACAGCAAGGACATGGTGAGACTGCAGAAGAGGGAACAGGCAAGCAGCAGATGAGGTCAGAAAGATAAAGGGGCCAGGTCTCCTAGAGCCTTAGAGTTTTTGTATTGACTTTGTTTATCCTCTGGGTGAGATGTAGAGGCTGGAAGTGTTTTTGTTTTGTTTTTTTTTTGGAGTCAGAATCTCGCTCTGTAGCCAGGCGCCAGGCTGGAGTGCAGTGGCGCAATCTCGGCTCACTGCAACCTCCACCTCCCGGGTTCAAGAAATTCTCCTGCCTCAGCCTCCCGAGTAGTTGGAACTACAGGCACACACCACCATGCCCAGCTAATTTTTGTATTTTCTTAGTAAAGACGGAGTTTCACCATGTTGGCCAGGATGGTCTCGATCTCTTGACCTCGTGATCCGCTTGCCTCGGCCTCCCAAAGTGCTGGGATTACAGGCTTGAGCCATCGCGCCCAGCCACTTAGAAGTTTTGAGAAAAAGGGAGACATGCTCTATATTTATGTCTTAAAAGGATACTGGGGCTGCTGGGAATAAAGGATGTTAGAGTAAGGACAGAGAAGCAAGAAAGGAGGATTTAGGAGAGCGTACCAATAAGCCAGGTGGGAGGGGCTGGAGGCTGGGACCAGGGTGTTAGCAGAGCAAGTGCAGAAGTTCTAGGATTCGGAGGTGAGGCCAATAGAAAGCTATGGGCTGATGTGAAGTGTGAGAAGACTGGCACCAAGGTGTTTGGCATAACCAAGTGTCCCGATGTTTACTGAGATGGAAAAGGCTCAGGAAGGTGCAAGTTCAGCCTAGAACATCAGAGGCTCGGTTTGGAGAAGTATAAGGCAAACTTCAAATATACACTTTGTACGAAAACAGAAGAAATTTGAACTTTCCGATTGCCTTCTTCAAGGACTCTAATAAAGGGAAGAGGCAGATTTTAATATCCTCGGCCTATAAGGGGCCTGGGGCAGTTACGTTTTGGGGGTACTAATAGCACCATTTGTTCCCATTCTAAAATGCTCAAAGTGCTTTCTCGCTTTCACAGGGTTTGCTTTTATCCCTTTCTCTCTCCCCCATCTCTGGCTTCCAAGATGGCAGGTATACCCCCAACTCCACCTCTGCGAATGTTCTCATCTGATCCCGTCAGCCCCCTCCACTTTCTAATTCCCTGAAAGCTTGGAGGCCAGAGAAACAAGCGAATTACAATCGTGTGACGGCTCCGCGAGCTGGCCGCGTCCCGGGCGTCTCTGCCAGCTGCTGGCCTGACTTCCTGGTTCTGGGGCAAACAGACTTCATTTCGCAAAGGGACTCACGGGACACTGAGCAAGGGACGTGAGACACCTGAGGTCCGCCCGCGCCCCAGAAGAGCTGGCTGACGCCCCTCCGAGCCTCAGGCTCTGCCTCGGGGCCGACGAACTTCCAGATTCACGGGGACCCACCCAAGTCTTTCCTCAGGAGTAAGCTCTGTCCAAGCCACCCACTTCCTCTCTAACTTTTCTTACGGATAATAAAGCGATTTCCGTTCCTCAGCCGACCCCGGCAACCCTGGGGCAGAGGGACCGAGGCCTGGACGCGGACCTCGGACGACCTCTGCCTGGGGCGCGCAGGTGAGGAACGCCTTACCTGCCCGGGCGCGGGCCGCTGCAGCAGGCGACGGAAGAACCCGCGAACCAGGAAACGCCGCGGTGGGGCGGGGCCAACCAAGCAGGCTCCGCCCCACATCCCGGATGGCTTCATCTTGGCGCCTCCGGGGGGCTCCTCTAAGTGAGAAACTCCACGTCTTGCGTAGGGCGGGTCTTTACGTGGGCGCCTGCCCCTTTAAACACGCTCTGTCGGCGGCTGACCCACTTAAGGCTTCCGGGCATGCGCACGGCGTTGCGCAAATGAATTTCTTCCACTGAGCCGAGGTAGACCGGGTCCGCCTTCTTGCGCGATGCGGGGTTTGTCTGTGGGGTGGTGACGAGATTGGCACTGAGGATCCATACCCTTTGCCCCAAAGAAGGGTGACGTGGGCTAGTGTCGCGCCTTTGGACAGGTAGGGTTAGGGGAGGGAGAAGAAACAAGTAGGGCTGCTGGCCTTGTCGGGGACACCTTTGGACGTGCGCTCGTTGTGTGAAGTGTAGTAGCTTCTGCAGGACTGGGTTCAGTATTTCTAACACCTTCCCAGGATCCCTCCTCAGCCACGGACCAAGCAAACGACTCCCCCACCCCCACCGCGCCCCTCACTGTCAGCAGCAGTATCTGTTGAATGGGAACACTGCACCTTCAGGCTTAACGCCACGTGGGCTCCTTTGCTGCCCTCCGGTTCGGTTTCACTCTTTTACCAGGACGCTGGAACTCCCTCATTTCTCCCCAAGTTTCCCTACCTGTTTCACTTGCTTAGAATGTCTATCTTCCTTCTTTTTTCAGGGGGAAAGAAAAGATCATTATTCTTTCAGGGCCAGTCCCTATAGCTGTGTTCTTGACCACCCTGTTTTGTTTTTAAACTGCTCGAACTGTTAATTCATCGGATACATCCTGCTCACTTCCATCAGAATCATCTTACTAAAGCATGTTCTGGAATTTTGTCACCTTTCTACTCAAATACTAACCGTCCATTGACCACTCAGTAAATTCTAAGTCCTTGTCAGGGCATTCAGCATCTTCCATCATCCGATACTAACTCAGCTGTATTTACCAGCACTGCACTCTTCCTGCATCCCCATCCCCACTGCTCTGTATCTGGGCTGCTTATTTTTCTCTCACACATTGCATGTTTTGTTTGTACATTACTTGTGAGGTCTCTGCCTCATTTCTATCCCTTGAACTATTCGAGAACTTAGATGGCCACCTCTTGTATATGCCTTTCCTAATTATCTTCTACTACACTCTCACAGCTCTTATTTTGTACTAGTTATTTCATTTATTCAACTATTAGTATTTATTGCAGACCCAGCATGTGCTTAACACTGTTCAAAATGTGGGATCATCTGTAGTAAATAAGGCAGACAAGGTTACTTTTCAAGTGGAACTAACATTCTCTTTGGAGGAGGTAGACAATAAATAAGAAAGAAAAATGTTAGCTAGAACTGCTATGGAGAAAATTAAATAGGGTTTTGTGAAAGAGGATCACTTGCAGGTTCCTATACATTATTGATTAGGAAAAACTTCTCTAAGGACATGAATCCTAAAAGATGTAACTATATGATTGGGAAAGGAACAGTTTAATCAACAGGAGCAGTTAGCACAAAAGCACTGACGAAGGCCAGAGTAGCTGGAGTAGAGTGGGTAATGGGGCAAAGGTACAAAATGAGTTTGGAGAATAAATGGGGTTCCTAATCTTAGATGTCTTTGGGAGCCAGAGTAAGTAATTTGGATCTTATTGCAAATGTGATTAGAGGATTTTAAACTGGATTGTGATATGATTTAACTTACATTTTAAGACACCATTCTGGCTGGATAATGGACTATAGTGGGCTAGTTGGAGAAGCAGGAGTTTTTTCACAACATCTAAAAGTTTTTGGAATGGAAGTACTAAAGTAGGTGTGAGGCAGGGCAGTGGGAGTGATAAGAATCAGATGCTTAAGGTTAATGCAGTTTTCGGAGATGAGAAAGTCAAAGTTATCATCATGACAGTGGATGACCAAGATGAAGTAGAGGTGGGAGGTTGAGCCTGAGATTGAGGCCTTGAGGGTCAAAGACACTGAATGAATGATCCATATAGATGATCATGAAAACATATCGGATAAGAAGGTAGTGAGGCAGAGATCAGTGAATGAAGAGGAGTTGTCTGGGGATCTGAGAGAGGATGACAGCCGATGGTAAAGCCTGATGGCAGGCTCTTCAAAAGATTTGGGGTTTTGGAGGTAGTAGAGAAAGAAATGGCTTGCAAGGAACAGTGATATAGAACATATTTACAGCCTCTAGGTCCTAAGGTAGGTGGGTGGGAAAGAAAAAACAGTCCTCACTTGAGAGGACTAAAGAAGCAGCAGCTTAAAGAAATAGCCAGGTTTCAATTAGGGCAAGAAAGTGAGGGAACTGTACAGGAAATTAAGTAATTAAGGAAAGTAAATATATCTTATGTATCCCTTAGGAAATTGGGATATAGAGAATTTGCTGTGATTTCTATATGGCACGATCTAAAGGATTGAGAAGGGGTGCGATTTGCTAAATTGGTTCAGATTAGTAGAGTACATTATAGAAATGAGATGATGGTCCAGATGATAATAAATTACTTGGAGAATGTGGTTAAACACAGAACTCAGTAACATGGAGCCCCTGGGCAATTCCTCTTTCCTGCAGCTCCATATAGTATGGTAGCCATAGGTCTGTGTGAAAAGTCAGAGATCAGAGTACTGTTCTCTGGTGTGGTGTTCCCAGGAATCTCTGTAACGGTTTCTTCTCTCTAATGCCAATGATATAGTTAGACCTTTCCTTTGGGTCAACCTCAAAAGCTTCTGTATATCCTAATGGGGGCATTAAAGAAGATCAAGGACTAACTTAATCCTGCCTTGAAATATAATCAAATCGCAAATTTGTATTTATAACTTCATTTACCCATCAGTTTTCCCATCGTCTTCTTGTTACCTCTCCTGTCACTAACCACTAGTAATACAAGAAAACTTAGCCACATATTATCTGGAATTAGCTGGAAGTTTTAGGCTCCAGGAATGGAATTTGGAAAGATCTTTGTTTTATAGGCCTGTGTTGTCACCCCTTCTTGTGGGCCTACAAATGGTATTTTTAAGATAAACTTAAAATTGACTCATTTTAATCCTGGATAATAGGTACAAATCTAGAGTAAGTGAAGATACAAGTTACCAAATCTCTAGCTATACCAGAAATAGTTTGCCTATTAATTCAGCTTGGTATAGGAAAGTCAAAGTACACAGGATGTACATATAGTTATAAATTAAGTTAATGATGCCATTTAAGAAGACTCAGCATTAAAAGAGACATAATTAACAAAATCCTGCAAACCTATTCCTATTTGGTCATCCATAACTTCTCTTTCTGGTAACTACCTCTTTGTTTTTGTTTTCTAGCCATTATGATAAAAGAATGGAAGAAGATACAGATTATAGAATCAGATTTAGTTCTTTGTGTTTCTTTAATGATCATGTTGGATTTCATGGCACTATAAAAAGCTCACCAAGTGACTTTATTGTTACTGAAATTGATGAACAGGGACAGTTAGTTAATAAGACCATTGATGAGCCTATTTTCAAGATTAATGAAATACAACCTGAACCAAATAATTTTCCCAAAAAACCAAAACTAGATCTTCAAAATCTGTCCTTTGAAGATGGAAGAAAGCAAGAAGTTAATACTTTGGTTAAGTACACTGATGGTGACCAAAATCATCAGTCTGGTTCAGAAAAGGAAGATACTATTAGTGATGGAACTTCCGAATGTGAAGAAAAAGCTGATGTTTTAAGCTCCTTTTTAGATGAAAAAACTCATGATTTACTGAATCATTTTGCTTGTGGTATAAAAGAGAAGTGGCTTTCTAAAACAGAGCTAATTGGACCACCTCCTGAATTCTCAATAGGCAGAATCCTTGACAAAAACCAGAGGGCTAGTTTACATAGTGGCATTAGGCAGAAATTTCCGTTTTTAATAACTGTAGGAAAAAACAGTGAAATTATTGTAAAACCAAATCTTGAGTATAAAGAACTTTGTCATTTGGTGTCAGAAGAGGAAGCTTTTGACTTTTTTAAATATTTGGATGCAAAGAAAGAAAATTCCAAATTTACCTTTAAACCTGATGCAAACAAAGGCCACAGAAAAGCTGTCCACCATTTTGTCAACAAAAAGTTTGGAAACCTTGTGGAAACCAAATCTTTTTCTGAAATGAATTGCAGTGCTGGTAATTCAAATGTGGTGGTCACAGTAAGATTTCGGGAAAAAGCACACAAGCGTGGGAAAAGGCCGCTTACTGAATGCCAAGGAGGAAAAGTTATATATACAGGTAATTTAATAAATCATGATACATTTTCTTGGATGAGCTTAGTTAAATGTAAAATTGTGAAAATAATTTGAATAGACTTGGCTAGCGAGATTGGAAAGAATATATGCTTTACCTGCAGGGAGAGGAATTGCTGATAAGTAATTTAAGCAACTCTAGGAATTCTTATTTATTCTGTTACTTAGTGGAAGATGATAAAACCTTTCAAATTACACTGAATATAAAAATTAGCCTTACTGATAACCTAGGCATTCATATTAGCCTAGTCACAAATGTATAAAGTTGAAGCAGTTGGTTTGTGTTTAATACGTTTTATTGAAGGTAAATCTTGACTTCGTATTTTTGAAGTCATCTCAATTAAAATTAAGTTCTTGGAGATGAGAATAATATATTTACTATGCTTGGGAAAGTGAAGAGATACTTTGTAATCCAAAACAAATTATATTTCCCTACCCAGGGTAGGGAACCTGAAAACTTGTTGCCCTGCTAGTCTTCTAGACAACATGTGCTGAAACTTTAGCATGCATATAATCATCAAAAGGTCTTGTTAAAACAGATTTCAGAGCCCCATTCTCAGTTTCTGATTCTGGAGCATTCACAAATTCACAGGCAATGTTTTTTTGCTGGTCTGGGGGACTACATTTTGAGAATCATGGTTTTAGGGTTTGTGTTTAATTCCCAGGGTGAATGGAACTGATGAATTCTCACTGTAAAAGTCCAGCTGATCATGTTTAATTGGCCTCAATTCTACTTAAAGGATGGGAAATGTTTCAGATAATCATATTTAGTAAGTTTATTTACCAAGGTATTTTAAGATAAAACCAGCAACTTACATTTGCACAGTTACACAGAAATAGGATGGTATTTCTACAGGTACTAATGAAAAGAGTGTGGACCTTGGAACTATGTGGGTTTGATGTTATATTATGACCTTTAGTTCACAAAAAGACTTATGAAAATTTTTAACAACTTTAAGTTTTGATTTCACAAATATAAAAATGGGAAGAATAATACCATGTGTAAGTTACTTAGTAATTCATAACTTTGGGTTGCACTTGAAAAATGGGGTATAGGAAAGCCTGACTCACAATGATATTCTAAGGATTAAATGAAATAATGAAATTGCTTACTACAGAATAGTTACTTAAATGTTAGTGTCTTTTATTTCTTTCCCTTCTGATAATTTCTGTCTGGTCATGTATGTATTAAATATATATGTGTGCATGTGTGTGTGCATGTATAACTTGACATATTAGGCATATGGTAAGTGTTAACAGATATATCTATTTTGAAGGAAAAAGAATACTAGCTTTACACATAGAGAGAGGAATTGCTGGTTAGTGATTTAAGCAGCTCTAGGAATTCTTATTTATTTTGTGCTGCTTGAAATTCTAACAATATTAATTTGGGTTAATGAGTAAAAAAAACTGTAGGAACTTTGTTAGTTTATTTTAGTTATCTAAAGTTGTGAATTGTTGGAGGCATATGTTAAAAGGAGGGATGATGGTTCAAAAAACATTTTATTTTTAATTTTTATATTTTAATTTTTTCACCATCCATATTCATTAAACAGTCCCTCCTTCTCTCCACCTCTTGGCAATCACCGTTTTGCATTCTGTCTTTATGGATTAGATAACTCTAGGTATTGCATGTAAGTGGAATCGTACAGTATTTGTCTTTTTGTAATGGGCTTACTTCACTTAGCATGTTTTTGAGATTCATTCATGTTGTAGCATTATGTTAGAATTTCCTTCCCTTTTAAGGCTGAATAATTCCCCATGGTAGGTGTATGCCACATTTTGTTTACCCATTCGTCTGCCAGTGGATGCAGTATAATGGTCAATAAAGCACACATGATATTTGATTTAGAAGCATTCAGCCTTGGGACTTGGAAAGAATTTGAGGGAAAATGTGGATGTGAGGTGATTTCTGAGGCTAGGTTATAAAGTATTGTACTTTTTGTCATGTTCTTGTATTGCTCACTCTGGGGAAAGCCAGCTACTGTACTATGAGGATGGATACTCAAGCAGCCCTTTGGACAGGGCCTAGTACTTCATGCCAACAGCCAGTACCAATCGGCCAGCCATGTGAATGACCCCCTTTGGAAATGGATCCTCCAATTTCTTTCGGACTTTAAAATAACTGCAGCCCTAGCCATATCTAACTGCATACAACTTCATGAGAGCCTGAGCTAGAACCACCAAACCAAACTGTTCTTGAAGTCCTGATGCACAGAAACTGCAGGAGATAAATGAATACTGTAAGCCACTAAAGTTTAAGGTGACTTGTTACATAACAACAAATAATACATAGCATTTAACATTTGACATGCACAAATTACTGATCAGCAACAAACTCAAGGAACCACGTATGCAGATTTCTGGAACTCCTTCTTTGCAAAGCTTTGTCTTATCTGGTACTCTCCCTGTGAATTCCAGCCTACTCAGCATTCCTGAATTCCAATATCTAGCCTCTTAACTCAGCAATGTAAAAAGACAAATGTAAATCAATTAAATATTTTAAATTGGGACTACAAATTTCATTCTCTTAAACATTCAAGTGTGTACAGTTTTATGTAGATACAGATTAATAATATGAATTTGATTTTCTAAAATATATTTCTATACTAAATTCTAAATCTTAATGGGTGAAAAAAATGCTTATCCACCTAGGCTACTATCAGCAACAAACTGGTATCTCAGACAAGTTGGGGATTTCTTTTAAACTGCTGAGTTTTTTGAATGACATGTCTAAAACTGTCAGGGTGAATGGCCGCTGCTGTTGAACCTTCAAGAATGCATAGAAGTAAGACACATAATAAATGGAGGGAACACATTTTATTTTTTAATTTTTATTTTAGTTTCAGGGCATACCTGTGCAGGTTTGTTACAAGGGCATATTGTGTGATGCTGAGGTTTGGGGTACAATTGAACCCATTACCCAGGTAGTGAGCATAGTACCCAATAGGTAGTTTTTCAGTCTATGCCATTCCTCCCTCCTACCTCTTATAGACCCATTTTTATGTCCATGTGTACCCAGTGTTTAGCTCCTACTTATAAGTGAGAACATGAGGTATTTGGTTTTCTGCTCCTTTGTTAATCTGCTTAGGATAACGGCCTCCAGTGGCATCCATGTTGCTGCAAGGGACATGAGTCTGCTCTTTTTAATGGCTGTGTAGTATTTCATGGTGTACATGTACGACTTTTTTTTTTCTTTGAAACAGGGTCTCTGTCACTCCTTCAACCAGGCTGAAAAGCAGTGGCACCATCATGGCTTGCTACTTCCCCAATCTCGTAGGCTAAAGCAGTCTTCCCACTTCAGCCCCCTGCATAGCTGTAACCACTGGCGTGTGCTACCACACCTGGCTAACATTTTAATTTTTTGTAGAGGGTCTCCATATGTTGACCAGCCTAGTCTTAGATAGCTTGCTCTTGTAATCCTTCCACCTCAGCCTCTCAGAGTGCTAGGATTACAGGCATGAACCACTGTACCCAGCTACATTTTCTTTATCAGATCTACTGTAATTGGGCACCTGGGTTGATTCCACATCTTTGCTATTCTGAATAGTTCTGTGGTGAACATAGAAGGGGAACACATGTTTTAGACAGAGGACTTAGATGTACAAATGTACAAAACTGCTGAAGGCTCTTGAAATCCAGGAATTACAAGAAGTTCTCTGTGGCAGGGTCATAGGACATAAGAAGGGAAGTGGTGCACTTGGAGTCTGGAAAGGTAGATTTGGGCCAGATATGAATGGCAGATTAAGGAATTTGGATTTTTTGCCTAATCCGTTATGCTGATTTTATATTTTCATTAAAAAATACTCCTTACATTAATAGTTTGATTCATTATACTAATCTGTTAGTCAGCTAAGAATGTAACTGATATACAGTAGCTGCTTTTTTTGTAATCTAAGATTTTTTTGTTTCAGCCTTTACCCTACGAAAGGAAAACCTGGAAATGTTTGAAGCAATTGGTTTTTTAGCTATCAAACTTGGTGTGATTCCTTCGGATTTTAGTTATGCAGGCCTTAAAGACAAGAAAGCCATCACCTATCAAACAATGGTTGTTAGAAAAGTGACTCCAGAGAGGTAATAAGATATTACTTTATAAGGCTGACCTTTACTTTCATAGCTCAGAATAATACTGGGAGCATATTAACCTCACTATCAATATTCGTGAATTACAAGTGTATTGAACAGCGCATTCTGCATTCATAAATATCTTCTAAATAGAGATATGTCTTAAGTTTACATTGAAAATATAGGAAGTTTTAGGATTGAAACTTTGACAAGCGGCAGATTTAAATTGTCTAAATTGTTTCTAAACATCTTGTACTGTATTCAAATATGCACTTATATTCAGGAAAGTATCTTATAACTCATGTTTTTCTAATTAATTATATTATGCCTTTATTATCATGGAGCCTTACATTTAAAATAAATCCTTGTTAAGTAGAATGTAAAGTACTCAAATTTAGCTTCTGTCAGCTTAATCAAATTTCATAAATATTTTTATAAATGTAAAAGACATATATTTATTGTAGAAAGTAGAAACAAGTTTTTAAAAAATGAAGTTACTAATAAGCTTACTACTCAGAAGTAACTACAAGAGGTCGAGCACGGTGGTTCACGCCTGTAATCCCAGAACTTTGGGAGGCCGAGGCAGGTGAATCGCTTGAGGTCAGGAGTTCGAGACCAGCCTGGCCAAACATGGTAAAATCCTGTCTCTACCCAAAATACAAAAAATTAGCTGGGTGTGGTGGCACACACCTGTAATCCCAGCTACTCAGGAGGCTGAGGCAGGAGAATTGCTTGAACCTTGGAGGTGGGGGGGTTGCAGTGAGCTGGGATTATGCCACTGCACTCCAGCCTAGATGATAAAATAAGACTGTCTCAAAAAAAAAAGGAAAAAAAAACCTGCAATAACATTTTTTATTTCTCTCTAAACTATTTTCAGAGACTGTATCACACAGAAATGTTTATTTATTTTTTATTTTTTTGAGATGTAATTTTGCTCTTATTTCCCAGACTGCAGTGCAATGGCATAATCCTGGCTCACTATAACCTATGCCTCCTGGGTTCAGGTGATTCTCCTGTGTCAGCCTCCTGAGTAGCTGGGATTACAGGCACCCACCACCATATCTGGCTAATTTTTGTATTTTTAGTAGGCAGGGTTTCACCATGTTGGCCAGGCTGGTCTCGAACTCCTGACCTCAGGTGATCCCCCTGCCTCGGCCTACCAAAGTGCTGGGATTACAGGCCTGAGCCACTGCACCTGGCCAACTTATATATATGAAAATCAAACCATGTATACAATTTATATTTTACTTGATAAAATAATATTGTTAGGTGAAAATTTATATCATGAAATAATTCAAAATTATGTCTATCATAAAGACTAATTTCTTTAACATTCCCTGTTTTTGAAAATTGAAATTCTAGTTTTTCACTGTAAATAATACCATGATTAATATTTTTATACTTAAATCTGTAACTTGTAGATAATTTCCTTAAGATAAACTTCAAAATGTGAATACTGGGTCAAAATTCAGCCTAATTAATGTAATATCAATATATTAATTCTTAGTTAACAGATGTTTAAATATCCACTATATGCAAGTAGACTCTTCTGAGTGCTTCTAAGCTCTTATATGGGTTACAAAAAGAAGTGTATGATTTTGCTTTTGTGGTGAAGAAGAGCAGGATAGGGCAGAAAGAAGGCCTTTAGATGTTAAAATGTATTTAAGATGAAAGCTCTCCTCTTAGGAGGGGAGATTACTTTGATTTAGCTTATCAGTCTGGAATTTTAATTACACTTAAAGTAATAGTAAGGCTTTAGCAGATGCAAAAAACTGGAGATATATTTGCAGGGCAGTACATACAACAGTCTGTCACATATATAATTCCTATAAGGACCATGGAAAATATGGCTATGAAGGAAATTTTATATCAGCCCTTACAGGATCATACAAGTTACTCTAGAAATAGTGAAAAAATCAATTCTTTAGATGTTGGGAAGAATTGAAAGTTTGAGTAAGGTAGTGGTCAGAGTAGAGTTTCAGGAAAATCCTCTGGTGCTAGTGATTTTTCTTAGTATTATTGTTGGGGAAAGAGACTGAGAAAAAAAGGAGCAAAGTTGGGGACAGGAAGATCAGGAGAATTGCTAGGAGCTTCTGTCACTTGAGCTAAGGAGAGAAGTCAGAAGGCCTACATAAGAAGAGTGATAGCATTAGTAATATATGTTCAAGTTTTTAAAATAATTCTGTTAATGTAATCCTATAGTGATGGGTACTAAGCACACATTTGGTAAAATAACATTAACTTCAGAATATTAAAAAAAAAATTATATTAGTAGTCTCCTAGAAGAATACTAATTGCTTGGCAACTGCCACTGAAAACCTTATATTAAAGTAATTTTTAAATGTAAGATTTAACTGAGTTTATATGATTTATTACTTATAGGTTGAAAAATATTGAAAAAGAAATTGAAAAGAAAAGAATGAATGTCTTTAATATTCGGTCTGTAGATGATTCCCTAAGACTTGGTCAGCTCAAAGGAAATCACTTCGATATTGTCATTAGAAATTTAAAAAAACAAATAGATGATTCTGCAAACCTGAGAGAGAGAATTTCAGAGGCAATAGAAAATGTTAAGGTAAGAAAACTTAATTTTAAAAGAGTCCAGGGAAATCTTCACAATCCCTTTTTCTACACTGAGACAAGAGGGGAAGCTTCTTTTTCTTTTGTTATTTTTCATGGGATTTTAAAAAAGTGATAATTGTTTATAGTGATAATTAGGGCCATTTGGCTTATATTTTATTTTTAGCTTAATACATTTTTGTATTTAAATGAAAATATATAAACATGATTTTAAAAATGCAAGGTATGGCGTTCTCTAGAGAAGGGGGATAATCTACATTTATAAGAGAGTTTTTTTTAAGCATCTGCTATATCTATGTAGAGTAGTATCTAGTCAAGGGAATTTATTTTTTGGAAATGTTGATGTATACAAATTATAGATCATACACACTGTATTAGTCCATTCTCATGCTGCTAGTGAAGACATACCTGAGACTGGGTTTAGTTGACTCACATTCAGCATGGCTGGGGAGGCTTCAGGAAACCAACAGTCATGGTAGAAAGGGAAGCAAACACATCCTTCTTCCCATGGTGGCAAGAAGGAGAAGTGCCGAGGAAAGGAGGAAAAGCCCCTTATAAAACCATCAGATATTGTGAGAACTCACTCACTATCCTGAGAATAGATAGCATGGGAGTAAAAACCTTCATGATGCAATCCCACTGGGTCCCTCCCATGACATGTGGAGATTATGGACACTACAATTCAAAATGAGATTTGGGTGGGGACACAGCCAAACCATATCACAAACTTTATTACGTTTTACAGTAAAAAATAACCTAAGTTTATAAATGACATTTTCCAGACATTTAAATGTGCATATACAACTATAATCTTCAAGACTAGATCATCTAGACTGGAGATGAACAACTTTTTTACTGTAAAGGACCTGATAGTAAATATTTTTGACCTTTGAGACATACGGTTCCTCTTGTAGCTAATCTACTGCCATCGTATGGAAGCAGCCACAGATGATATATAAGTGAACGAGCATGGCTGTGTTCCAATAAACGTTATTTACAAAAACAGGTGTTGGACCAGGTTTCATTTGTGGGCTGCAGTAGTTTGCTAATCCCTGATCTAGATGAGTAGTTCTCAACCTGAGGAGCTTTTAAAAAATTTCACCCATTGATCTCTACCCCCGAACCAATTAAAAAAGAACATTTAGGGATGCAGGTTAGGCATTAGTACTTATTTTTTAAAAACTTCTTAGGTGATTCTACTTTAGAGCCAATACCAAGAAACACTGATCTAAATTTCTGACCACAAAGACCTTTTTACACAATTTTATTCCTCTCTAACAGGAAAACAAACAAACAAAAACTGGTTATTAATCTGCCTTGCAGTTAGGAAAATATCTTCCAACTAAAGATCTTTTAAATCCAGCACTTTCATCTGTATATGGAAGTTCTCTGATTGTATACCCTTTATATGTTGTTAGTCTGTTCTCCTGCTGCTATGAAGAAATACCCGGCACTGGGTAATTTATAAAGAAAAGAGGTTTAAGTGACTCACAGTTCCATGTGGCTGAGGAAGCCTTAGGAAACTTACAATCATGGCAGAAGGCAACTCTTCACAGGGTGACAGGAGAGAGAATGAATGTCAGCAGGGGAAATGCCAGACATTTACAGAATCATCAGATCTCATGAGAACTCACTATCATGAGAACAGCATGGGGGAAACTGACCCTATAATTCAGTTACTTCCCACCGGGTCCTTCCCATGACATATGGGGATTGCAATTCAAGATGAGATTTGGTGGGGACACAGCCAAACCACATCGTATGTTATATTATCTTTTTTTCCCTTCACCTACCTAAAATTCTACCTTTTTTTCCCTCAAAAATTATTACTAAAATCATATATCTTTAAAAAGGGTAAAAGTTCCTTTGAACTCTGATAGCATTTATTACCTTTCATTTGTTATTTATGAATATACAACTGCCTGTTACAAAATTCCCATTAGAAACAATCTTAGTTTTAGCCAACTTCCATTAGTTCTCATGATGTGAGAAAGGAATTGAGAAATCCTGAAAATAAGGAGCCTTTGAAGGTTTGTTTCAAGGGGTTACATCTCTGTTATAAACCTTTGTTATAGCTAAGTCATTTGAAGGGTTAGCTTTAAACTCTTCTGGTTATTCTAGGACATCATCTGATGTTACTTTTCCAAATTTGAAATAATTAAAAATATTTAACTATGAGATTTAATTCAGGGAGTACTTATTCTATCTGCAATTAATTTTTAAATGACATGAGATAAAGATGCAGTTGCTTTTGTACCATGCTGATAACAAACTGGCCCAGCATCTTTTATTAAAAAGTTCTTGGCCGGGCGCGGTGGCTCAAGCCTGTAATCCCAGCACTTTGGGAGGCCAAGGCGGGTGGATCACAAGGTCAAGAGATTGAGACCATCCTGGTCAACATGGTGAAACCCTGTCTAAAAATACAAAAAATTAGCTAGGCATGGTGGCATGTGCCTGTAATCCCAGCTACTCAGGAGGCTGAGGCAGAAGAACTGCCTGAACCCAGGAGGCGGAGGTTGCGGTGAGCCCAGATCGCACCATTGCACTCCAGCCTGGGTAACAAGAGCAAAACTCTGTCTCAAAAAAAAAAAAGTTATCTGGTTGGTACTCAATAATAATTGTTGACTGAAGAAATGCGTACCCTCATAAAGTAAGTGTGGAAGACTCTTACCTTTGAAGAAAGTATCTGGGCCTCATGTTTTCTTTGTGAGCACATGTTTAATGACTAACCAATTTCTTTAATGGTTGCAGTAATAAATTATAATTTTCTATTTCTTCTGAGTAATGGGACAGTTTTAAAACATGGTCTGAAGGGTTTGCCTCCATTAAGAGGTGAATTCTTTATTCCTCCCCTGGAATACAGACTGTTCCAGATGCTGAAATAGCTGGACCGGTAGAGTACTGCTAAAGTGACTCCATTGTCTCAGGTCAGGCTTTAAGAAACTGAGATGAACTAAAGAACAAATGGTTACATAGAAAGGAACCAAGATGTGTGGGGTTTGAAAATAAGCCTGTTCTTTATTCCCAACATCTCCAGACAGTCAGAGAGTCTCAAAATAAGAAAGAGCATCAGGGATCAGATCTGGGTACTAGGTGAACAACTCATATTGGATGTCCAGAACTTTTCTGGCTTTGGGACTGAAAATCCCACATACCAGGAAACTCCTCAGTAACATGAATGGAACGTTGACATATTTTTAAAGTTTCCTTCACTGGTTTTATGTTCTAACTTCTAATTCTGTGTTTTCTCTCCTATTGTTTAATTGCATAGCATTTTTCAGACTATTGGGTCTCTATGTGCATACTGCTGATTACAGACTTCTTGTATTAAAATAGATATGAAGAGAAAAATCCAGTTACGTATTTTGACACATATTGTATTTGAAAACTCTTAATTTGTTGATTATTTTGTATACATAGAAAAAAGGCTTTGTGAATTACTATGGACCACAGAGATTTGGGAAGGGAAGGAAAGTTCACACAGACCGAATTGGACTAGCTTTGCTGAAGAATGAAATGGTATGGATTTTGAAAAATGTAATCTTATCTATTTCTGTCAGTTATACTTATTACATAATCCAGCCTCTTGCTTTCATAACTGTAGCATATAAATGCATATAAACACACACATACAAAATATATTATATCACTGAACATTTAGTAAGCTGCTACTATGTCCTTGGTATCACATTACAAGAAAGCCAAATGTGTGAGTGTCCTTGTAGTTAGTACATATTTGAGATTTGACACAGAAATGACTATCACTTTCAATTTTAGTGAACTGAATAGAAGATTTAGAGGAAATTTTGACCCTGCTATCCCAGAAATCAGGTATCAGATCATATAAAAGATAGGAATCCACGTAAGTTCAGAGACTAAAAAGGGAGCAGCAAATTTGAAAACAAAATCTGACTAGTCCAAAATGAAACTGAAACTGCATGTTACAACTAAGAAGCTGCATTTGCTGAAATATTAAAAGCATATGTATATATGCTTTTATATTTATATATATAATTACATATTTTTACATTAAAATGGAGTGCACATAATGGAGGAAAACTATAAAAATTACATATTTAAACAAGTACAAGATTATTCTTATAATAGTATCTTGTTCACTCACATGTGTTCTAATATCATGTATTGACTGGAAGAGAAAGAAACAGTAAAAGGATTTGTGAGAAGCATAGCGCATTAAACATCATCTTACATATCAAGGAATATTCAGAGCTGAGAATTTAGACCACATCTGCAAATCCGTAGTTAGTTCTGGGCTTCACATTTCAAAGGGGATTTTGCAACTGGAATATAACTGATATGGTAAAGAATCTAGCAATGTTTACCTCAGCAGTGGTTCTTCAGTCTATAAAACTCTGAAAATTAACTTGCAAAATATTAAAAATGTTGTTATATGGAAGATGAACTTAATCTTTTGGGGCCTGTGGGATGCAGCATATGTTCTACTTGAGTTCTGCCATTTTGTCACGTGTGTTACTATGGGTACACAACTTTCCCAAGTTGTTTAACTTTTCCAAGCCTCAGTTTTCTTATCTGTAAAATGGAGATAGCATGTATTTATTTAAGAGTCCTGTAGCCCAGCATAAAAAAATACTTTTTCTTAACAATTGTTCAACTAACTGGAATGTCCTGTTTCTTATAACATTTAAGCAAAAGCTAGATGGCTACCTTTTTCCCTCTTTCAAACCTCATATTATATGCTCTTGAATTTTTTAAAAATTTTGCTTTAGTAGTAATAATCAACTATTGCTGTGTAATAAATTACCCCCAAATGCAGTGGCTTAAGACAACAAGCATGTATTATCTCAGTTTCTGAGAGTCAGGAATCTAGGAGCAGCTTAGCTGAGTGATTCTGGATGAGGGTCCCTCATGAGGCTGCAGTGACACTATTGGCCAGGGCTATACTCGCTGAAGACTTGACTGGGATGGAGAATCTGCTTCCAAGCTCATGCTCATGGCTGTTGGCAGGAGACTTTACTTTCTTGCTTTAAGACTACTTGAGGCATGCTTCCCCTAGAGAGATAAGTCCAAGGATGCAAAGGGGCGAGAGAGACAACAGATACTGCAGTGTCTTTTGTAACCTAGTGTAAGAAATGGCCTACTTTTACTTCTGTCTTTTGGCCATACCAACCAACCTTGATAAGTGTAGAAGAAGACTACACCATGTGTGAGGACCAAGTGACAGAGAGCATTGAAGGGCATCTTAGAGGCTGGTTCCTGTGGCTAAAAAGCTATGTCTTCTTTCCTCTGCCTGAAGCACCCTCTCCCCAACTGTATATTATTTAGGTCTCAATTTAAATATTCTCATTCTACTCCCCAATAAAAAGTGAATTCCTCTTATTTTGTGATCCTGTACCCATGTTGGGCTTCCCATCTTAAGTTTTTAAATATTTTATTGTTATTGCTTATTGAATTTTATCAGTAGGCAGTAAATTTTATTTGGGCAGAGACCATGTCTCTTTTACTCAATGCTCTGTCTCTAATAACCTACACAGTACCTAGCACATAGTAGATACCTAATCATATTTGTTTGAATAAATGAATACTGTAAAAGAAAAGTGTGTGGGGAATTGGGTTGAATAACCTATTTAAGATTCTTTGCTACTCTAAGACAAGCTTTAAAAATAAATCTGAATGCTAGAGTTAGTGATAAAATACACAAACTAGTAGATAATTATTTTTTTAAAAAAGGAACATCTTTTAATCTATTTGGGATTTAAAATAAAATATTAAATTTGGCAATTTTTTCATTAAGGTTTTGGCATTTAATTTTAAGACCAAAGAATTCAGGAAATTGAGCACACAAATGAAATTAAGGGCTTGCCATTCCCCTCTGATTGCTACTTTCCTATTTTCATCATGTGCTTTGGTCAAGTCTGAGATTTGTGTCATTATTTTACCCTTATATTCTTAGCTCAAGAATAGAGACAAAGGATGACAGAAGTGTAGGTTATTCTGCCATCTGCCAATGACAATAGAATTTACACTGTGCACTTACTTTGATAGCACTCTCATTGATATAACCTCCAATTTTTGTTTCTTTCTATGTTTTGTCTTATGCATCCTTTTTGGTTTTAAGGGAGAACCATCTTTTAAAAATTTCCAGTATACTTTTCTTCTTCAAGGGCTTCTAAATCTTGAGGAATAAAAAAGTCAGTTAAGTTTTTTGTGGCTATGAAATGGGTGAAACATAACTTTAATTTATTTAATCCTAACCTGAAAGTTATAGCTGTGTTTTCTTTGGAAAGTTCTGAGGCTTCTTTTTAAATGTTATCTTTCTGAGCGATTTTCTTTACTTTTGCTCTGGGAGTGAGGCATTCTACATCTCCAGAGCTACTTCTTTTTCTCTTCCCTTTTCTGACTCAGGTAAGCTGGATACTTAAACTCTTTCTTTTCTTTTTCTTTTTCTTTGAGGGTTGTCTTTGGGGTTCACTAGTTTCTACGTCCGAGCCCTCAGAGTGGCTGTTGATCTTTTCTTTTTACAGAGGCTTGCATTTCTTGTGTCCATATTTAACTCTTTGACATGTACATTGTCTTCCTTTTTCATTTGGCCTTTCTTGTTTTTTTCTTTTTTTCTTCTATAACAGTACAAACATTGGTTTAATTTTACTCTGATTACAGCCATTTAAATTGTAATATTTTCACATGCATCTATTTCAATATTAAACAAATATGTAATATTTATTTTTAGGCCAGAAGGGGCTTAGTTTCCACTGTCTTAGGAAATATGCCAGGTTTTCTTGGTGCTTCTTCTGATGGGTTGTTAAGAAATTGAAATGATTACAAAAAAGTTGTACTATGTATAATATTTGCTAATTTTTTTTGCTTTTGGAAACAGTATTAAAAATAAGGATTTAATACGTTTAGCCTAAGCTTCTTAGAATTCTTACACCTTACTAAGAATGTCAACACATTTTAAAATTAATATTTTAAAAAATTACAAAAGTAGAATTATGGAAGTTATAGCAAAATACTTTTTTCCGTCCATATTTTAAAGCTATATATGAAGTTATTTCATGCAGGAGATTTATTTCTACATTTAACGTTGACTATCTAATTTTTGAAAGCCTAAAGAGAACGTTGCAGCTTCAAGTATAATTTATTAAATGCCTATTCTTTTAGGATGCTAGAGAATTTGCATCTTTTTTTAAAAAAGTAATTTGACATTTTTATTAACACATGTTTACTTGCTTGATTTTTCAAGGCAAAAGCCATAAAATTGTTTCTTACACCAGAAGACTTGGATGATCCTGTAAATAGAGCAAAGAAGTATTATCTTCAAACTGGTATTTAAGTTTCTTTATCCCATACATAGCCATGCAGATACAGATATACCTACAAATGTTTTATCAGGAGGAGAGCATTTATTGTAACATAATGTGATAAGAAATAGATTACAGTAGGCTGGGTGTAGTGGTTCATGCCTATAATCCCAGCAATTTGGGAAGCTGAGGCAGGTGGATCACCTGAGGTCAAGAGTTTGAGACCAGCCTGACCAACACGGAGAAACCCCGTCTCTACTAAAAATACAAAATTAGCTGGTCGTGGTGGTACATGCCTGTAGTCCCAGCTACTTGAGAATTGCTTGAACCCAGGAGATGGAGGTTGCTGTGAGCTGAGATGGCATCATTGCACTCCAGCCTGGGCAACAGGAGCGAAACTCAGTCTCAAAAACAAAGAAAGAAAGAAAGAAATAGATTACAGTATGTTACATACTGAATATTTTCATTAAATGACTTACACGCTTCGTTTTCAGTCAGATTTGTAAGTTTTTTCATCTGTGCTAACTCTTGTTTAGGGGTAGGGATAGTGAAGAGATATAGTTTCTTTGCTTTTCTTGGCTGAAATCCTCTGAAGACAGAGGAGTTCCAAATTCTAATTTGGCACCGATGGCAATATAATTAATTGCAGCTGGGGAGATGCAAACTTAAATAAATAGAAGTTCATTTATGATTTTCCAAACTTTATGCATTGTTTTCAATCTACTTGCCAGTTAGCCCTGTCAGTGTTTAAAACTTTAGGTCAATATGACGGAATATATATAGGATGCTTGATGAAAACCACTAAGGAACCGTTGTTATGAGTGTGGCTGGAGTCAGACTGTAAGGGTTTAACGCTCACTTTAATATTTCGCAACTGTATGATCTTGTGCGAGTGATTTGACGTCATTGTGTTAGTTTCCTTGTCTGTAAATTGAAGCAAATCACAGTACCTACAGGGGTATTATGAGATTTAGATATGAAAATGGATGTAATGTTCTTGGAATAATGCCTCGCATATACTACATATGGATAAATATTACCTTTATTTAAATAATAAAAACAGCAACTACCCCACTTCAGATTCATTCAGATATCTGACTGACATACTGAATTTCACTTACATTGAAATAAAGGATGTCAGTTTTCAGATATTTATTTGTTATCTTTAATTATGTACATATTACACATGTGCAGTTACTCACAGGAAAGTAGTATTTTTGTGCCACTCCACAATGTGTAAAACAGTGTAGGCACTTCTAACTGTTGTGAGTAATTTAAGTAATACTAAGGAAAATTCAAAGTGACTTGTTTGTGTCTGTTGTAGAGTCCCTAGAAGATAATTTCCTTATGGTAATGATTCTTAAACATTCATATGCATAAGAAACACCTGCTACACTTATTTCAATGCAAATTCCAAGGCCCTACCTGAATAAGCATCTTTGGGGTAGATTCTAGTCATTTACATTTCAAAGTGCATCCCATTTTGTGAGGTATAATAGTGTGCCTGAAGACTCCAGATCTCAACCCTTTCTTAGTAAAAAAAATTTGTGTTTATGTCCAGAATAGCTCTTTAAAAAACTGTAGTCTCTACTAGCTAAGCAATTAAATTATGTAATCCTTGAGGGTTTTTTGTTTCTGTTTTAACAGTCCTGTGAATAACTTCATTAGTTTATCTCTATTCTGAAGTAAGGGACTCTAGTAAGCACTTGGTAATATTGGACTCTTGCTTTTTTTTTTTTTTTAATAGCAGGGAAAGTGAAAGTAAGGCCATATTATGCTTATTATTACTTTTAAAAGAAGCTCTTCAAGTGTAGCTGGGTTTAATTGAAAGTATTGAATATCATCTTAGTGCCCATGTTCATTACCTCAGTTTGAGAGTAGAACAAAAGCCTTTATAACTGGCCTTTAAATATAAAGTGGCTGACTATCCAATTTACCCTTTGTTTTAGAGGATGCTAAAGGCACACTTTCATTGATGCCTGAATTCAAAGTGCGGGAGAGAGCACTGTTGGAGGCATTGCATCGCTTTGGCATGACAGAGGAAGGTTGTATCCAGGCATGGTTCTCTTTACCCCATTCCATGCGCATATTCTATGTTCACGCATATACTAGCAAAATTTGGAATGAAGCCGTATCTTACAGACTTGCAACCTATGGAGCAAGAGTAGTGGAGGGTGATTTGGTCTGTTTCGATGAAGATGTTGATGACGAGAATTTCCCAAATAGTAAAGTAAGTATCATTTCATCAGTTTTCCAAGAGTCGTTACTATACCAGAAACATGAATTTTCAAAAGCCCTGATTATGGAAACACTTTCAACATATATTTAATTTATTTGTCTATTTTTACTTGTATTTACTCATCTCTTGCTTCAAGTCTGGTGCCAGTTTAGGCTTAACACATGTTGGTAAATGAAAAGATAAAAATAGGGGTATGGAGTGAAAGAGATATAGGTAGTAAAGCTTTCTTTGGAAAACATTTAAAAAAGATTACACAAATAATGCACAAAACAGCCCTTAAAACCAAAAACGAAAACATTACAGATTATGCTGCAATCCCTGCTATCATCCTAATTTGATTCCCTCTGCTTCCTCCGGAGACTCAACCTCTGTTGTTTATTATGTCTTTCTAGGCCTTTTTCTATGTTTTCACATAAATATCCATAAAAAAATTGATTTTTATTCTATTAGTTAACACTGAGAAAAGAATAGGTAGGACTTAGTGGCTCAAAACTTAAAATATGGAGAGGAAAAAGAATATGATTTTTATAATGGTATACGGAACATGTGATGTGTGTATTTCTTTTATATAAATGTAATTTTATGTATTATTCATAATTTCCTCTTAATGTCCTTAGAGACATTTATATTAGTGCAATTATAATATAATTTATCTTATAAAATATGATCCTTTCATTTCCTCCTTGTCTGATTGTTTTTATCTCTGTGGGTTTGAACTAATGAAACTGGGTTTCATTTGATAGTACTGTAATGCAAAAAGAACAAATTATTATTCTCTAACTTTATCATGTCAGTTTCACAAATTTTAAAAATTAGTGAAAATTTGGATATTTTCATATATAACATAATAAAATTATTGAATTTTAGAGAAGAAAAGGATTTTAGAGACATCCTTTTTTAAATTCCCATTTTATAGAAATGAAAATTGAGTCCCAGTTTGGAGAGGAGACAGATTCAGAGTCACACAGGTAGTGGAATTAAAAAGACCCAGCTGCTTGACTCCTAGCCCATTTTGGTCTCTACTAGAAAAATCATGGAGTATAGTCTGTAGTGAGAACTAGAACATGGTCCAGTTTTTCAAAAATAGAAGTAAAACGGACTCCTAACTCTACATAAAGGAAATTTTATCTAAATTTATGTCAGAGTTCCAGACATATTAATTAAGATTTTTTTTTTAGTTGTTTTAAGTAATAGAAACCCACCTCAAACTGCAGTAATTTAAGGAAACCTGAGAATTTCTTGGCTCTCATAACTGAAAGCCCATGATTGATTCAGGCACAGCTGTATTCGGGACTTGAGAGTCCTAAACAATCTAATTTTTTTCATCATTCAGCTCTGCTTTTCTCTGTTACATCCATTCCCAGTTTGGCTTACACCTGTGGTGGCAAGATGGTTACTAGTGACCCTAGGCTTATGTCTCACCACTCTAGACTTGCTTCTCTGCAGAAAAATGGTTTTTCTTCCCCAACAGTGTCAACCAAAGCTGTGTAATTGAGTCTCAGTGGCTAGGAATGGCCTGGCCTAGATCACATGTACAGAACCAAACCAGAAAGTGTGGACTGAAGTATGTGATTGACTAAAACTTCATTCCTGGGCCTCCTTTCTGGGACCCTAACCCACATCTGACATGTGGGAGAGGCTCCCTGGAAAATGAGAGTGCTACTACTTGAAAAGAGGGAGTAAAGATTTCATGAGCCAGAACATCAGATGTCTGCTTCACTGTTTCATTAAATGGACGAACAGGCATAAACTGCAATTACTTTTGCACCAACCTAATAGGAAAGAAATAAGAAAATGGCCACTAGGAGGCAGCATATGTTACTAACAATGGTAATTTAATTGAGCTATAGACTCAAACTCTGTGAAAAGAAATCTAGCATTGTAGGTTTTATTTTACCTCGTGTGGGAGAAGAAATGTGTCAGTGATTCCCTTTTGATAAATAATAAAAAATCCTTATGATTCCTTAATACCTACCAGAAAACATGTCCATTTAAATACTGGAAAACACGCTAATTAGTAAGTCAGCCATTTCTAATTCAGATTTTTGGAAGTTAAAGATTACTTTCACAAGATACAGCAACAATTTCTGAAGTGCATGAGTTTTATAAGACTTCTTCATTCAGAATAACATTTGCAAGGATAGTTTTGTGATTGGAATTTTATCTGCTTTCTTATTGGAACTATAGAAGAGGAAAACATTTTCTCCTACATATTTTGCAGAATTCCCTATTATGAGCAGCAAAACAATGTTTCTGTATATTTTAAGATCAATCACTTATTTTATTAGTTAGTACTGAGGAAAAAAGGCAGGACTTAGAGGCCCAAAATATAAAATTTGAAAAGGAAAAAGAATAAAATTCTTAATAAATGGTATATGGGGCATGTAATGTGCATCTACAATTAAAAATGGTAGGAAACTAATCTGATTCCCTCTTTTGATAGGACTACTAGACTAATAGGTCTAGCTGTGTTTCAAGTCACTTGGTAAATTTTCTTATTTATTTTTTCTTTGTGGGCAAGACAGAGAAATGTGAGTTAGACAATTAAAAACTTAGGTGAATTTATAGTTGGGAGCAGCCATACAAGGAAAGCATGTTTGTCCGTGAATTGCTTCATATCAACCTGGAGGGAGTTCTGTAAAGACAAAGCATGGTGTTTTATACCTGGCCATGTTTATTGAGTGTTTTCATACATCACTTAAATCACAGTATGTAGGTATACTTATGACTCTGTGAAAGAGAGAAATGATGATCCAAGAGAGATCACAATCCCTTGTAGTCTGTCTCTTGTATTTTGATCAGGTCACATCTGGAGCTTTTTTATCTGTTTCTGAGAGCAGTAATTAAAAGAGGTTAGTAACTAATAAACAAACAAAAATTAAAAACAAAAAAAGAGTGACATTATTGATAAGACTAGGGAGAGTTGAGGGGAAAGCAGGCAGATTTAGAGGTGCTTTAGGCACTATAGCGTGTGATGAATGCTTTAGGATCATGAGAACGTTGTGAATCCTTGTGGAGAAAGGATGGCTGCATTTCTGTTTGAGCTTTCATGTATAAGAGAAAGCAGAACTACCTATTCTGTGATATCCTAGAGCAACATTTCATATACTTAATCTATCATGCACCTTTTTGGACATGCTTTGTGGACATCCTCTTGTATGTGACACCTGCTACTATTCTATGAAACAAATGCTGAGAAATACCACTTCTTAAAAATTTTTTTTGTAAGCGACCAAAATGCATTTATTTAATATACATCACAAGGGCTCAACCGAGGCTTAATTTAAAAGATAAAGATGAAACAAAAATAATACCGCAGCTTAAGATACAGAGTCCTATACAGAAATCACAAAAAGGACAGACCATCTAAGGAAAAAGAAAAGACAACACAAGGACAGGCTGGGCAGCCTGGGTCAGGGCTCCTGGCTGGTGACCTGCTTTGAGTAGGCTTTTTGAAGGTACTTCTTAAAAGCTCTGGGGTTGGCAGCATGCGTGTATTGATGTTGGGTTCTAGCAGGCTTTGGTTGGAGAGCAGAATGGTCCTGACGTCATACAAGGAAGACGTCAGGACCATTGTCCTTCAGGATGTCCAGGCATATGTTACCCTGGGTGTGTCCACATTGGGGTGGTAGCAGGGCGCAAGGAACTTCACCGTGGGCGCATTGTGAGGGTTGCCACTGGGGAACTCTAGCTAGAGCTTATGCTTCAGGTCTTCATATACTGTTTCAGCTGCTCCATGGATGGTCCTTACCCATTTGAAAAGGTTGTCTGATTCAGGGAAGGCAGAAATCCCTTTATCGCCAGACATCATGAGGGTCATTAGCTCCTGCTTTAGCCTTTTGCCTATGGGACACCAGGTGGCTCCCCCGCTCGGCTCGGCTCCTTTACGGGCGGCAGCCACGCTAGGGGCTACTGGGTCGCAATTTTGGGATGCCATCCAGGCGGCCCTGGCAGAGACAGGAACTCGGAGGACACAACTGCAACTGCTTAATTTTTTTTTTTTTCATTTTTATTTTAGAGGCAGATTCTTGCTCTGTTACCCAGGCTGGAGTGCAGTGGAGCCTTCATGTTTCACTGCAGCCTTTTTCCTGGGCTCAAACAAGTCTCAGTCTCCTATGTAGCTGCCACTACAGCCATGTGCCACACCTGGCTAATTAAAAAAAAAAATTTTTTTTGTAGAAACACGGTCTCCCTATGTTGTCCATGCTGGTCTCAAGCTCCTAGCCCCAAGCGATCCTCCCAAAGTGCCGGATTACAGAAGTGAGCGACCATATCCAGCCACAGAAACATCAGTTCTGTATAGAGTATTATATTTTGGGGGGACAGAGATTAGTGGGGGGTGGGGAGTGGGTTTATAGTATAGAAGCAGATTTTTGATTCAATGTAATAAAGAAGAACTTTTTGATTCAGAAAAAGATTGCTGGTGATTGAGGAATTGCCTCAGAGTTTTCAGCAGCCGGCCTATCTACATGTTATCTAACTTAAGTCGTTAAAGCAGGAAGAATCATTCTAATTTTTATGTAGTCTACTCCTCCAAAAACAAACTATGACAAGATCTTGTTTGGTTCTATGTATATTCAGCATAGGAACTCATTTATATATAATAGAGTTAGGGAAAATTGAAAGTAGAGGGAATTTGGAACATTTGGGAATCATTCATATTTTCATGTTTTTTAAAACTAGGTTCACCTGGTAACTGAAGAGGAGGGATCAGCTAATACGTATGCAATACATCAGGTAAATTAGCTTAAAATTACTGTCACTTAGATATAAGTGTAGGCACTGTCCCCCAAAAGCAAAATGTTGACTAGTTCTCTCTTTTTTTTTTAACAACTTTTAAATTAAGATATAATTTATATACAACCAAATTTACTTAGTTTACAGTTGTACAGGCTTTGATAAACATACAAGTTTTGATAAATGTAGGACTGTGTGGCCACCACAAACATCAATCATAAAGAACAGTTTTCCCCCCATCCAAATTTTCCTGTGCCCACTCCCATCCCTCACCCCTGGCAGCCCTGAACAGTTTTTTTATCACTATGGGTTTGCCCTTAAAATAATGTCATATAAATGGAATACTACAGCATATGGTCTTTTGTGTCTGGCATCTTTCACTTAGCATAGTGAATTTCAGACCCATTCCTATTGTGTATATATTTGAATTTTTTACCTCCCTCCTTTTCTTGACTACGTTTGGTACTGTTCCAGCAAAGGAAGAATACCCTACAAAATGCAGTGTTTACTCACAAGCAGCTAAGTAAATAAACATTGTATGTGTTGCTATGTATTTGCTTTCTTGTTTTGAAAGAAATAAGAATTAAAAATTGTCCACCAAAATTCCAGTTATGTGAGCAGTAAAGGTTACTCTTTGTGCTACAGAAAGTACATGCTTTATTTTATAGAGATTAAATCTTTATCAGCTAAGTATACCTAAACTTCTTGAATAGTGGATTGTCTAATAATATCTGATTTGAGTTGGTTACCTCAGTTATTGTGAGTTCTTGATTTTAGCTATTTAGCAACATAAAAATATCATAGCATCTTATTCAAAGCATGTTTTAGACTGACTGTGATGTTTATATTCTCAGACCCTTTTTACAAATCCAGGTCCCAGACATAAAAGTACCATTAAAAATATGATCATGTATTTTTTTGAAGGCTATTTTCATATTTTTTTCACTCTTTTCTTTCACAGGTGGTTCTTCCAATACTTGGATACAATATTCAGTACCCAAAGAACAAAGTAGGGCAGTGGTATCATGATATACTTAGCAGTGATGGACTACAGACATGTAGATTTAAAGTACCTGCTCTGAAACTGAATGTACCAGGATGCTATAGACAGATTTTGAAACATCCCCGTAATCTCTCATACCAAGTAATTGAAGATCATGACATTGATGTCAAAATGAAAGATCCCCACCTTGATGAAGCAGCTTTGTCTCTTTTGATCTCTTTTGATCTTGATTCTTCATGCTATGCTACCGTTTGTCTGAAGGAAATAATGAAGCATGATGTTTAAAACTGATACCCTTGGTATAACCGCATATATGTCACTCTTTGAAGGAAAGGGAGCTAAAATGTCTTAAGCACCTCCCATGTGTTAGGAATTTCATAATTGTTATCTCTTTTACTTGTCGCAGCATTCTGAGAAGTTAGGATTTAATACGATAATTTTACAGAGGACATGTAAGTGTCAGTGTTTAAATTTAAGGTCCATGTGATTCCAAAGGCTGTGTGTGTGTGTTTTTTTTCTATTATATGTTTCAGTGACCTTTATTCTGTGTCATAAAGTCACAATCTTTTAAAACCATTAGAATTATACATAAAACTGCAAGATAACATTTAAGAAAAAAGTTGTAAATATTCATATCCTCCCGCTCCTTGCTCAGACCGTTGGTGAAATTAGGTCGCAGTGAAGCAAATGTTGGAGAGAAAAGACAGATGAAACATTTTGCTGATTATTATTGTCATACTTTCCTATTTTTGCAATTATCGATCAGAACAATATACAAGGGAAATACCATCCCTCTGTTTGTGTTAGATACCCCCGAGTAGTTATTACCTCTTTGTGACACAAATAATCTTTGATGAAAATTGAAGTAAAATTTCTCATCCAATATTTATATCTTGACATACACTGATCCTCTTGATCATTTGTAATTTTTTTTCATATTATCTAAAACATATGTTAGAGTCAGACAGATCCATGCTTAGATTCTAGCTCTGACACTTACTGGTGACTTTGAGTATGTTGTTGATTTTCATGTGTGGGGGTTACTTACAGAATCAAGACAATACCAACTTCATAAGTGACAGATAATCCTATTTTATGTGACAGAAAATCCACATTTTATGTTGCTGGAGGAAGAAAACATTGTGCCCATTTGAAAATTTTAATTTTTGTTGTTTTAACTATCCCACATTATAAGTCATCCTTAACCTTTTTCTATCAGTTAAATATGGGAGTGGGCGGGGGAGGAATGAATGTCATGTAGGCATGTATTGATTTGGGAAGATCTGAGCATTCTCTCATTGTTGGTAAGATATAATGATGAAATTTAAAAAGCAGTATGGAGCATTATATATCAGTAATGTGATACTTTTTTTTTTTTTTTTTTTTTGAGACGGAGTTTCGCTCTTATTACCCAGGCTGGAGTGCAACGGCGCGATCTCGGCTCACCGCAACCTCCGCCTCCTGGGTTCAGGCAATTCTCCTGCCTCAGCCTCCTGAGTAGCTGGGATTATAGGCACGCGCCACCATACCCAGCTAATTTTTTGTATTTTTAGTAGAGACGGGGTTTCACCATGTTGACCAGGTTGGTCTCGATCTCTCGACCTTGTGATCCACCCGCCTCGGCCTCCCAAAGTGCTGGGATTACAGGCTTGAGCCACCGCGCCCGGCCAGTAATGTGATACTTTATATATTTACGCCAGTTTAACCATTTTGGAAAATGTTAGCATAAGGAAATAAAATTCAAAAGAAGGAAGACAAGCTGTATGCAATGCACAACTTGCTTATTGCAATATTTTTATCTATAATGAAAGACACGAAAAGCAGTATTCAAAGACTAGCATTATGTAACTAAAGTAAGTAAAATATATGCCAACTTGATGGTAAAATATGTAATTATCTAAAAGAGGAATGAACAATTTAGTTACATGAGAAAATGTTGCCCCCGAAAGTAGAACACATATATTACAACTGCAATAATATTCTGTTCAATATTTTATTTTATTCAATAATTTATTGAATAATAAAATCTAATATTTTATTCAATAATAAAATAATCTATGTTATAAATAAGAGACATGTTAACGTAGTGATTAAAAGCACAGATACTGGAGAAAAACTCACCTAATTTGAACCCTGGCTCAGCCACCTACAGCACTGCAGCCTGGGGCAAGTTATTTAAATTCATGTGCTTCAGTTTCAACATCTGTAAAATGGGCGTTAACATTACCTACCTCATAGGATTCTTGTAAGAATTTTCTAAGTTAATATATGTAAAGCAGCTTTAAAAAGTACCTGGCACTTAGTTGTTAAATAAGTGTCTGCAGATGCAAGTTTGGAAGAGAAAAGAAAATAAATGAAAATGCCTTCCTGTTAAGATGATGGGATATTTGGATTTTTTTTTTAATACTAAAAAGTTTCTTTTTTTGCTATATATTTTGACAATAAATAGTTCTCAACACACAAAGATTGGATATTGTAGTACCATTGATTTTCTTTGGATTACTGCCATCATTTTAATGTTATATTGAGAATGAAGTGATGCTCTATGAGGTAGTAAAAACAATTTATCATAAATTACATACTATAAATATAATCATAAAATGAGTTATATAAATTATTAAATCCTAGTTTTTAAGTTTTGAATAGCAATCGGAAAATAGGAAAGCATGAAAATGTATCATTGATATTACTTTCTTTGCCTGCAGATGGCACTATAATTTTAGACATTTATTTATTTAGTAAATACTCCAGCTGTGTATAAAGGATCGCTGTTTATCACCATAAAATGTATTGAGATATCATTCATGTGGAATATTATTTTATATGCTAATAATACTTGCCATTTTAAATTCTTTTGTTGTTTAAGGACTTTATTATTAATAGTATTCTTTGGACCAACTGATCACTAGTCAGGTTTTTGCAGTTTTGCTGGCGCATTTCAGAGCTTCATGAGCATGATCTTTGGATTAGTTTTTCTTTTCTTCATTTTGTTATTAGAGACTTTATTTTTAAAGTGTCATCTTAGACTGCAAGGATGTTCATTAAACATCACAATTAAACTTGCCAGAGGAGAAGCCATGTCATCAACATGCCCACTTAACCTACCCAAACATCTCAAACCCACCCTTTGCTGACCGTCTAGAACATTTCCAAAGTTTTGCTTTATTTTTATTTTTTCTTCCAACTTTTAGGTTTGGAACATGTGCAGATTTGTTACATGGGTAAATTGCGTTGTGTGGGGGTTTGGCATACAAATTATTTGATCACCCAGATAATGAGCATACTTTTAGAGGTTTTTTTTTTTTTTTTTTTTTGAAGGTAGAAACAACTATTTCTAAATCTGGGGATTCAGTAGTTCCTTCAAATTAGGCTCTTTAAGAGCTGTCTAGGTCAATGTTCATTAACATTTTCTACCTGGGAGCAACCTTTAAGAGAACAAAAAGAAAATGAAACTCTGTATTATTAAATACAAAGCTTTTTTTTTCTTTTTCTTTTTCTTTTTTTACATTGATGTAAGGGTAGGAAAAGAGGTTGGAAGAAGACATGGGGAGGTAGGAAAATAGGACTTTTTTCCTCCATTTACTTTTGATGTTTGAATTTCAAATATGAGTATATTTGTGTATTATTTTGCGGTTAAAAACATTGAAGATTACTTAAAGTTCAGAGAGGGGAAATTTAATGGAATTAATGGATTGATAGCATTTGTTCAAAATGGTTTTGGTGGCTCATGACAACATTTTGAGAGAGAGTTTTATGCATTGTACATTTTAATAGCACCAATGGCAGCTGGGATAACTAAAGTTTAGGGCCCGTGTTAATAGATTTTGCTTTCTAATTTCAGAAAGATTCTGTTTTAGGGATAGCTTGATGTCTTGTAGTGCTGTTTTAATCTGTTTTTTAAAGCCCTTTGATTTATATATATATTTAATAGGCCACAAAGTAATATTGAATATATGGCATAATTAAGCAACAAATATTTAAATGACTCTAAGTGAAAGATACTCTACAAAATGCTATGGGAAAGACAAAAATAAATAAGATCCCTTCCTTTGAGGGATTAACAGTGTTATATCCCTTAAGTTTTCATTTAATTTGAAATGCCATATGCAAAAGGACTATGCAGACTAAATGACAAAGAGGAAAACAAGCAACATCTTTTCATTTGACTTAGAGCTCACTACATGACCGATAATGTGTTACTTGACCTCTCAGCACTCCATTCTAAATCCTTAAATGATACTTATTTAGCATTTCTAAGCATCTTGAGATCTCCTCTTAAAATATGCTTTGAACTATTCAGTCTAAATGCTGCTTTCTAAAAAGCTACTAGTTTAAAGAATGGGAAATGGTGTTAATGGAGTTAACTTTGTGTAATTTCAGTGTGGGTTGTCAAGAATACCTCTAAGTAAAGAAAATGACTCTAATCTTCTTAAGCAATTCATTTTCTCAGCAACTTTGAGGCAGGAGTTAATTTACTCTGCCTGTGTACATATGCCACCTCTTATAAAAGAAAAATTTAACTTATGGAAAGAAGTCAAGATAGCCATGAAATTATTTAAATTTAGCCTTTAGAACAAATTACAAAATATAAGATATATTAAATTGTCTTTTTTTGTTACAAACTCAACTACCAATGTAGAAATGAAACGCCTGTTGCAAGGATGGAGTTTAGCTCTGTAGTCAAAACAAGAGCTATTTGGTTATTTTAAAAGAGAAGAGATCAAAGAGTTGGTCACTCCTTAACTAAGGATGTTTGGGCAGCAGGATAGGGTGAAGAGTAGAGGGGGTAGAAACTCAACTGTATGTTTTTATACCAAGTCTCCCTTTTCCAGTATGCCTTACTGGCATTTTCTTAGACTAGTTAAGTTAGGATTCCGATTTTTTGACCTACAATAGGGTTTTAATTTTAGCTGATCATTGTTTCCACTGCCTCCTCTGTGGCAGGGGAACACAAAAGACTAGTGTTCTTTTCTAAAAAGGGAAGATGGATATTTTTTTCTATGAATAACCTTTATAATTCCCTTACAATAAAATGAATGATTGGTTATAATAAAATGAATTTTTTTGCATATGATTTTCAAAGGGAAACTAATTTGTTTTACCTTTCTATAAAATATTTCAAAGGAATTAAGTACATTTTTATTCTATGTAAATAATAATGTAATTTTCACATTTAGGAGGCAATAGCAAATCTGGGAATCAGTTATTCTAAGTTGAAAGAGCATTCTCCCAATGCACTGAAAACATGTGATGACTATTTTTTTTTTTTGGAGACAGAGTTTTGCTCATTACCCAGGCTAGAGTCTAATGGCACGATCTCGGCTCACCGCAACCTCTGCCTCCTGGGTTCAGGCAATTCTCCTGCCTCAGCCTCCTGAGTAGCTGGGATTATGGGCACCCGCCACCATGCCCAGCTAATTTTTTGTATTTTTAGTAGAGACGGGGTTTCACCATGTTGACCAGGATGGTCTCGACCTCTTAACCTCGTGATCCACCCGCCTCGGCCTCCCAAAGTGCTGGGATTACAGGCTTGAGCCACTGCGCCTGGCCTTGATGACTATTTTTTATGTCTTCTTTATTTTGATTATTACAATAATGTTCTAACTGGGTGGCCTTTCTTTTTCACTCTAGTCAGTCCATCTTTTACACTATTGTCAATTATTCTCCAAAAAGTAGAAATGTGATCCTGTCATTGTTTTTAGGCCATAGAACATTTCAGAAGCTTGCCAGTATCTATGGAGTTACAGTCTAAACCCCTCAACATAGCACATTTAGACCTGCAAGTGGCATCCGTCACTAATCCATAGGACTTACCCTTTGTTACAGCTGTTTCACAAATACAGGTTGAATACCCCTTATCAAAAATGTTTGGGACTAAAAGTTTCAGATTTCAGATATGTTTGGATTTGGGAATATTTGTACATGTATAATGAGATACTCCTAGAGTTGGGATCCAAGTCTAAACAAAATTCATTTATGTTTCATATATACCTTATACACATAGCTTGAAGGTAATTTATTTTTCCCTTGGGTACACTGAATAGACTATGTGCTGTGTACCTACATTTTGACTGTGACCTATCACATGAAGTCAGGTGTGGAATTTTCCACTTGTGGAAAATGTCCATACTCA